TTCATCCGTGCTATATAAATAGAAGTTTGAAGAAATTTCCAGTGCTAAGTTGTTAAATACTCGCAGCTTGTCGTGAATATGAATAGGATGCTTTATAAATGTAAAGAAATGCTAACGCCACCTCTAGTCGAGGTTACTACTTTTTCTAAGAATTGCCAGCTTGTTGCCAACCCTACCTCATTAGGAACAAACCGAAATTCAACATATTACGGCGTATTTTCCATTTCGTTTCGCATACAAGCCAACACAGCTCCACCTTTTTCCCAGTGGGCAAGATTTGGGAAGGGCTACACTGTCTGATTGAGGTCTGCTTTACCACCAACCTGCCGTTTCATGTTCCAAGGGTACAGGAGATGAGAAAAACAATGAACACTCGACATGGACTTTATCATACGCATGATTCGGGCATCCCGGGCTGATACCCGCCCAGACCATCCAAGGCTTCCTTCCTCCAGTGCCTTTCAATTAGTGCCGGATTCGCCTGGAATATCATACGCGTTCATAAAGTCACTACGATTGTGAAAAGTAGCCTGATGCGGGGCATACTCCGAAAACGGGATACACACTATCCTTCAGACCTTGAACGTGACCTTTCAAAAGGTGAAGGCTGTTGAAGTTGGAGGAAAAAATGTTGCCAAAATTTGTTTGCCGAATCCACATCTATATTTGGTACTCATCTTGATCCTATTACGGGCCTTTTTCAGTTCTGCTCCTTACAATGGCAACAATCTTGCCCTCCCCTCGACCTCAATGGGTATGGCGCTGGACTCTAAGAGTCCATGCAACCTTGGGTAAGGAGCTGGGTACACAAATGCCGAAGGCCAAGTGTTGTTTCCATCGGGCGGGTGCAGCGGCGGCTCGTCGCTAATGTCCTTTGAACAACTTCTGCGATTCGCGTCTGGGCTCGATCACTTGAAGTTGGGGCGGATGGAATTCGGCACGCACTTATTCGTTACAGGGTATCTTAGGACTGATTCGGCACGTCAATGCAAACATGAGCAGTTCTTAACCGATAAAACCTATCTTGACCTCAATTCGAGATACATGGACATTCTGCAGACTCCCTCACCTTCCCAAGCAAAGTATTGGTTCATAAGTTTGGCGATTTATGGGAAACTTCAGACCCGGACAGGAATCGAACCCGTTCCTGTGATTTCCGAAACCGTGCTCTATCCCATACTCTACCGAGACCCCGCTTGCCCTTGCCTTCTTAATGGCTTGAAACAAGTTATTGATTCATGGAGTTTTTGTGCACCTTAGGATTTTGCCATTCTGAAAGATTCTGGTAATAGCTAGACGATTCCAGAAGGGAATAGAACGTTCTTAGTAGGCTTTCAAACCTGGACGTAGATGTTGTAGTTGTGCCACAACCCGTATCCAGTCGAAACCTACCCGGGCCAAACAAATGTGACGACAGAAATTGCCTGGAAGGGGTATATGGACTAGTTGTTCAAATGTGCATGGCATTGCATACAGTTGGCCACAGTAAGCTGCCTGCGTGCAAGGTATAGGTCCCGGAATGGTGCAACCTCTGCTGTCTTCATAATGCTAGGAAACTCGTCCGCCTTGGATGTGTACGTCGGCTAAGAGGGTTCCTGGGCTAGGCCCTATCTTGGCCGTTTTTCGACTCCATAGTGTCCCTAAAGCTGTCCTTTAGGGTGACAACGGACAAACCACAGAAACTCTTTTGATGTGAGCTGTGCCTCTGAAGTGAATTGGTCATCACCTTTCATAAAGTCTATGGTAGCATTTGAATGCGCATATACATTCTATCCTGACGTCGAATTAGAACTAGGGCGTTAAAAAGAGCATTTTACCTATACAAGGACTGGAGAAAGAGCTTGCCGATTTGCAGATTAATGCACTAATAAGTGCGAAATGCCCTGTAGAAACGGGAAAAGAAGGAAGCGAGCTTTCTCACATTGCTAGACCTCGAAACCGTACAGGTGGTAACTGCACCGCCTAGCATCACCCCATCTCGCTTTAGCCGTCATTCATCTACTTACATCCCGCGTGAAACACAACCTCCTGAAGCTGTGACCTGATCCATAACATTGCACGTTAAATTTTCTTAAACTGCATCGGACTCTTCCGCTCAATTAGGACCGCCTCAATCTAGGGAGTAACTACCAACTTCGCGATTATTCTAAATGATGTTTACGTGAACTGCGCCCGTTGATGTACCGCCACAGTTCACATCCACCGGCCACTCGAACTGAAACCGAGGTCAATTGAGGGTTGAGCAAACAAACAATTTCCAACACAAGACAACCGTTACCAGTACATGCTGTCCTAAACGTAGAGTGCAGGGGATCTTCCATGCGCTATACACTCGCTACGGACAGCATTGAACGAGCATTCGGTTAACTGTTGCCATGAAGATGGGTGGCTCAAAGAGATCATGAACGTTATCCCCTCTCGCTGACAGTTATGCTGACCGTAGCGAGTGTGTAGCGCATAGAAAATTAGAAGTTTTCTTTCTTCAGCTTCCTAGAAGGTATTCGGTTCAGGGCTTCTTATGAAGCCCCCAGCACATCGGATTATTCTCAGCAACGAATTTCCACACTTACGTAGACCGAAAACTGGGTCTTATTCGGCAGAATGTGGTTGTAAAGGATTAACACATTACCCAGCTGCCATGCTCCACTCCGTTGATCCACTATCCTTTAGAAAACCTACTTATCCTCTGAGCGATGGCGGAATCAGTGACGCCATTCAAGTCCCATGAACCACGCCTTTAGCTACAGTCGCCTTAGTGGGGAATATCGTCAGCCGGGGCGTGGTCAGCCTGAACTATTAAAGGCTAGTAGTGCGCGAATCGGAGCCGATCGGTGAATGATGAAGTTGCTGGTTGTTGCCGCTCTCGCCACTACCGTATCCACCTGGCCAGATACGACGCCACTGCCCGTGCTACTACCGCCATCACTCGACAACGCCGTTATCAGTAATCACTTAACATACTACTTTACTAGTTAAACCCTCTTTCTATAATCCATTACTACTGCTGCTAAAACACCGACTCATATAAATTCAGGCACTCCGGAAGTCAACTGTTTGGAAGATGGGTTGAAACTCACATTCAGAACAGAACGGCCATTCCATGGGCGAATATTCGTGAAAGGAATGTCGACCAAAGTGAGCTTTCTACTTCTAGAGGTTCCACTCTCCGAAAGTTATTGCTCTTCTGGTTACCATGATCAACGTTTTGATGAGATCAAAATTTGTAGCTGAAAAAATGATTTTATCAGAATTTTTCAAATTTCCCATTACTTGCGGAAATTTGACTAGTGTATATGGAAGGAGGAATAGCCTGGTCACGATAATAGGTCAGCGAAGATGCTGCATTGAAATTGGGGAAAAGAGGAACTCCTGAAAAAGAACGACCTGTTCACAAGGCCATCGAAACAATTTTTGTTTTGCTTGCTGGACCGAAGTCCTTTTGCGGATGGTCCCATCTATATTTTGGTGTTCGATTCCACCTATTGGAAGGACGTCAGGGTTGAAAAACATTGTGATTGTGATGAACACTGTAACTATTTATCGCTTCTTTACTAATTTCTTCTAGGAAACCTGTATAAAGAACTTTATCACCAATAACAGCCCAGTAGTCTCGTTTGATATCCACAATGGCGATTGTAATATGCGACGGACGAGAATGGTAAGTTTACTATCGGAGTATATATTTGAATGACCTAGATAAAGCCAACTGTAGTCAACCAACACTACATCCTATGTCCCCGACCCCGACCAATAATTCAAAGTGATCCTCTGGAAAATCATATTTTCAATTCTATTCTGCCAACAGTTGGGTCATAACCTCGGGTCTTCCTGTAAAACTATACCGATCCATTTCACGATTACCAGACGCCATTCACCGCCGCCGGTAAGAGTTCAGGAGGGAAATGCAAAATCGATCAATACGTACCTAATGTATAGATGACGATAGATATAGATGTAGATACTATACCGATTCCGCCAGTCAACCTAATTCCCAACTATATTTGGATATAACCTTCTGACCATGGAACCATTTGGGTAAAAGATAGATCTTCAAGGATTTCGTTGAAGTCCTATAACTCTCAGTAGGAAACTGAGATTATCTAAGGTCCACGTTCAGACTGAGAAAACTTAGATAACAAATTTAAAAAACAGTGCAATACCGTTGACCTATTTTCTCCCACTTTCCAGATAGGACCCGATAAAAGCGGAGTCGAACAGACGATCACTGTCATCATTTCATTTCATTCAACGTTCATCACTAAAGTTGATCGAGCCTATAGATGTACCTGTTTCTATACGGAAAATGACAAAGTGGTTACAAGCAAGTTCGATGTCAGGTAAGCGATCATCTTGCTTCCGTGGTAGCTGTATGTAATCAGGTAAAACGTTTGCACAAAATCAACCCTGCTTTGGATTGCGCCATACACTTGACAACCACTCAAAATCGCTACGACCCTTATTTATAATTAGCCTGCCAGGGATCTGATCCGCAAGGATGATTGCACCAGCTATGCCTACACATTTTTTTCTTCCTTTCCATTTCTGCCCTATAGCTAACAGTTCAAGGCTTCAATGCTTGTAGTACAGCTTGATCCCCTCAGTCAAAGATGTTCTGGGTCATCTTCTTGCCCCTAACTGCTGATGCACAACACATAGAAAACACTCATATTTCTACAAAAATGAAGTGGATGGCATGGATGAGTGATTACCTCACCTAGCAGAAAAGAATATCAGAACATTGGTGGCTCACCTCGGGGAAAGCAAAATAGTGGTAGACAGTGAATTAACGCATGCGTGGTCCAAAGGTCAGATACTGGCTCGGATTCTGCTTAACCAACTTCCTTTCCATATCTTGAAGTCGGCGCTATATTTGCCTGGAAGGAAATACGCTCCAATCAGGGTGACAATTGGTTCTGAAACGTATCTATTATGCTAGTGTTACATTCATCCGCCTATAAGAGTATATAAGGAAGTCGAGTGTATGGCGTACACCAATCAAAAGCATTGATTAAAAATGAATAGAGTTTTTTTTTNNTTTTTTTTTTCAAATATCAACAAGAGAAAAATGCTTACAGCATGCTACCAACGACCGAATTGACCGATACAGTTAAAATGCCGTTGTGTACGTACACGATACGACGAGAGTCGATAAATGGTCCAGTCGTACAGTTCGCCCAGGTTGGCGACCAAGTATTCCACGTGTGGCAGTGTGAAAGCGGTGAGTCCATCCCCTTCCTGGGATTTTTTACTTTCGATTTTAGAAGATGAACTGAACCTTTTCTCAAGCGCAAACGATTCCTGCCCATTAGATGGAGCCGAATGCTAAACCCGCACAGAGACGAGTAGTCGCAATCCGTTGGCGATCTTTTGGTACAAATAGAGTTCTGTTATTGTATCACTTAGCAGCGTGACTTATTCAAAAGAGAAGTTAAAAATCAACATTAACGCGACGTGTCCACCCCTTGTACCCTTAGTTCCACCTCGACTGCAGCGCAACCGCACGCGTCCCAGGAAGTGCTCCCTAATGATGCCATTTCCATGCAGCGGGTCTGTCTTTACTGCTGGGTATTTACAGCAATCAGTCGAAGTAATGGATGCAATCATTTCAGATATGTTCTCAATGTTGGTTCATAGTTGTTTCGTCGACGATAGTAATGGTCAAGAACGGAAACCATTCATCGACGAATATGGGTGAGTAGAGAGCGCTTTGACTGCTCAGAAAATGCTTGCGTCATTTGAAATAGATTTGAAACTACCACTTCCACTCCTAAATATGCGATAAAGGTTAAATAATAAGCTCGAAGTCGAGACCGGACTAACTGACTGTATCCTTGTTTTAGATGTGCCATCGATCCCATAATTGTGCCCGATCTTGTCTACAATAAAGAAAACAATTTGGCTTTCTCCCAAGTGAACGTATTCAAATTTGCCGATAAGGTACGAGTAGTGTAGACCGACATCGTTATCGTTATTACGGTAACCATCTCAAATGATACGGTATTGTGACGTCATCGTGCCGAGTATTCAGATTACCACATATTTCCAATGCGCTATCAGTACATGCTTGATCGCTGAGGGAACATGCACTGGAAGAACGGTGAGAAATAGTGACGGCTCAGATTTAACACTTCTCAAAATCTAAATGTTCAAGTTCAAATTAATTGAGCTAATCCCATTCCAAAAATCTCCTATTTCAGCCACCACGGTGTGGGCCATTCGGACCAAAACAACGTCAAGCCAGGTCGATTGCCGAAGTACGGAACAGTAGTCGATCGAGATGGATTCGGCTAGGCAACACAATGGACGTGTCCGCTCAGAAAATTACAGTACTCGACTTGGAGGAAGCACCATCTGGCACGGTAATGTCTCAGACGTTTCCTGATATAGACAGCTGACCGCTAGACAAAAGTGGAAACCATTACGAATTGAACTGAGCTCCAACCTTCTTCGATCATAGTCCAGATTAGGCGATTTCTCGCGAGTTCAATGGGTCGAAGTGAGATTTTCCTCTACGAATGTTCCATATTTCTACCTGAACAGCACCAACAATTGGACAGTGGAAATGGGACGAGTCACTGAGAGTGGTAAATAAGGCTCTCTTGATGAGTAATTGTCACTGTTATTCCTTGGTTGTTTGGGTTCTTTGGGTGGCTTTATCAACCCAAAGACTGCATTCAGATCCTGCGTTGGCGTATGCAGTCGCCCGACGGCGCTGGGCACGCCTAACATGCAGAGGATCGATACTGATAGTTTGCTTGTGACTGTAGGGGCGTGGCCAAGTCGTGGCCGTCGGCTGTGCTAGCGAAAAGTATAACTGCAGCAGAAAAACTCCCTCATTGAATAGAAATCAAAGAGTATTTAGCTCCAAGTAACAATCCTTCTTCATTTTTCACGATCCCAGCCAATCGATAATATTCTCAGGAGTCTTCTAAACTCACATCGCAACTCCTTTCGGATCCGATCTCCACCAGCCATGCTTCGAAGGCCGCCGTTTGCTTCAGTCCGCAGATTGCGGTTGTTTTCAGCTTGATTGCGACTTTATCAACCATTGCAACTGCTATACTCGCATCCCTCCTCATTTTGAGGTTCAAGACAAGGAAGATTTTTGAATAGAGTCTTTGATCTCTCCCCATAATGTTCTTGTATGAACTTCTCTCTTGCTGTTGTGAAACTGGTAGATATTTCCCATTCATACTGGCACGTTCTCCAGTCATTTTGCCGTCTTGTACCGATTTTCAAGTCAAAAAATTGGTACTATTTGGTTTGTTTTCGATATTTTTCACCGGAAATCACTGCCGTCGTTCATTTTGATGATTTTGTTCCGCTAGATAAATATACTCCGAGTTATGAACGAGCACTGTTGACTTTTCGGGGGCGAAACTCTGACGAGTGCTGCTGCTGCTGATGCAACTCTAATTGCTGTAACTGATCCCGCTCAATTAATGACAAAAAGTTTCTGAGCCTACTAGTGATGGGAGGGGTTCAACAGTCCCTTTGACTTCTTAACCATACAAACCACAGCAGCACACAAACAGAAGAAAAAGACATTAAGGAAAAACATGTAGTACAGCCGATAAACACTAGATAATCGGCATCGATAAATTGCAGAACTAATTCGATTAGGCTAACCAGGTCCTCCATTCACCCACGTTCTTTACCAGGTAGCATGCCGTCTTCATCAGAGGGAAAAATTAATTTTGCATCGAGCTCTAGTTCTCGGCGAACCTCTGCAGAATATGTATCACTACCAGTTTCGATGGGATTCCAAGCCGAATAAAAAATAAGCGGTTAAGCGGCTTTTATATGGTCAATAATGCCGAGCTCTACACCGCTTTTCGTCACCGCTAGAGTTCGTCGGATCTGCTTTCAGAATAAGAGATCGTATCTCTAAAACTCCTACCTCGTCGATCCCAATGTGAAGAATTTCACTGCCTTTTCGGTGAGACTTCATTCCACCTGTGGTGACAAACTTAACATTGCAGTACTGAAGTTAGGCGATCCGAAAACAGAAACCTGGAAGTAAGTACCACCGCGGTCAACCACTATGGGGAATGTTGTGGGAAGAAGGATGTGGTGGTTTACCTGTACTGCCATTATATGTAGTGATAGGAGCCGCCCAAAACACCCGGAACTTCCACCAGAAACCGTGCTTAAACTAACGGACCGACTAGTTTGAGCGAATGGAATAGTTCTAGTAAAGGGATTTGCCGATGTCCCTGCTGTCTCTATCGGCACCTGGTTTTATTCGTTTGGAAAAAATTGAAGGCAACTCCTGGACAATCATCTCATTTTGATATTTCCTAGATAAAAAAAAATCATGGGTGAAGTGATAGGCTCTCAGGAAGTCCTCATTCACGATTATATTTAGTGACCGTTGCATCGGAAGCCTTTATTACTTTTTGTTCCATATATCATTTCCTTTCAACCACCATCATAAATGATTGTTTCCACATAGGTTTTCGGAACATAAATAGCAATTGTTTCTGTTCTAATGACGGTCGGGTTTGAACTTAAACGAAGTTTCCTCTTCAGCAATGGCACACTTCAACTATAACAACAAATAAATACAAAAAACTATCCCCTTAGTGTCCCGTTACCGCATTTTTGACATCTTCGGACGATTTAGGCTACTAAGCTATTCGACGCAGTAGTAAAGATTTTCAAATTTTAATTTCCTGAAGCTTCACAATGAAACTGCCGACAATGAGTGTAAGACTTCTTCCTAACTAGAAACAATCGACAATCGTTAATAAAGGCAGTATTAATATTTACTTTATCTCTTGTACACTATAACAAGAACTCAACACTACTAACTCAAACTGCGCCTAGGCTTTAAACGTAGCCAGGAAGTTCACGACCACCTCCTTCAATTTAGCATCGGTGGCTGGTGAAATTTGGCCTTCGTTGTGAATGGTCTTCAGCAGCTCCTGTTGTGATGAACGAATGTGCGCGAGGAATTCCTTCTCGAATTTAGTGATCAACGATGGGTCCACCTTGTCAAGGTGTCCTTTGACTCCGGCATAGATGACAGCAACCTAAATTATGGCGCTATACAAGAAAAAAAAAAAGAAAAAGCTTATAAATGGAATACAACCAATACGAAAATAGTAAGCACACTACCTGCTCCTCAATGGCCATCGGTACATACTGTCCCTGCTTCAGCAATTCAGTCAAACGGACTCCTCGGTTCAACAACTGTTGGGTGGATGCATCAAGATCGGAACCGAATTGAGCAAAAGCAGCTACCTTAATGGCATATATTTACTACGATGGTGTGCTCGCTCCAATGAATAGCAGCTTGATCCAAATCATATCAAATTTTCCTAGACTTGGTGGCAGAAAATCAATTTGCGCCACTGCCTAGAATCGATTGCAGACGTGGAGCTCTATCTACCGTGTTTTTGCAGAAAAAAAAATGCCGCAGGCCCAAGTACACGACAGACTTATGGCAAATGCAAAATGACTCAAACATTCAGTTCGGAAACTACAATTAATTACTAATTACTGCCGCTACAGATTTAACCCCAGAAAAGTCAGCACCTATGAACGGGGTTCAAAGCACGTGTCAACTTCCAACAAGTGGTTATGTATAATATTATGAATAGTTCTCAAGAACCGAAAACCCACCTCACGATATTGAGCCAGCTCGAGCTTCATGGAACCAGCGACTTGCTTCATGGCCTTGGTCTGTGCAGCGGATCCTACTCGAGATACAGATAGACCTACATTGATAGCTGGTCGAACTCCCTTGTAGAACAATTCGGTCTCAAGGAAGATCTGTCCATCAGTAATGGAAATCACATTGGTGGGAATATAAGCAGATACATCACCAGCTTGTGTCTCAATGACTGGAAGAGCAGTCAGAGATCCACCACCAAGAGAGTCGTTCATTTTGGCGGCACGTTCGAGTAGACGGGAGTGAAGGTAAAAGACATCACCAGGGTAGGCTTCACGGCCAGGAGGACGACGCAGAAGCAGAGACATCTGACGGTAGGCTACAGCTTGCTTGGACAAGTCATCGTAGATGATCAGAGCGTGTTTTCCGTTATCACGGAAAAACTCTCCCATGGCACATCCAGAGTATGGAGCCAAGAACTGCAATGGAGCGGCATCTGATGCTGTCGCTGAGACGACGATGGTATATTTCATTGCTCCAGTGTCGGTAAGCCGCTTCACAATCTGGGCTACGGTGGATCGTTTCTGTCCGATAGCGACGTAAATACAGTACAGCTTCTTCTTCTCATCGGTGCCAGCGTTGAAACGAGCCTGGTTGATGATGGTGTCAATGGCGATAGCCGTCTTTCTGAACACAAACATTTAAAAGAAAAATCGAACACCCTTCACTAAAACATTATCTTGTCACCATCAAGTTTGTCCTGAAGTTACCGGTTACAGTAGGAAGTGAAAAATCCTCATCTTGGAATTGGTAAATATGGCAGTGATGGTCAAGATTTTCACCGACAATGATTTGTGCGGATTGACAGGAAAAACTCACTGGTTTCAAAGAAAAGCTTCGAAACTTAAAACTTGCCCAGTTTGACGATCTCCAATGATCAGCTCACGCTGTCCACGACCGATAGGCACAAGTGAGTCGACAGCCTTCACTCCAGTAAGCATAGGTTCACGGACAGAAAGTCGAGGGATAATGCCAGGAGCTTTCACTTCAACACGAGAACGAGTCTTGCAAGCAATCGGGCCCTTTCCGTCAATGGGTGTTCCAAGAGCATCAACAACACGTCCGAGCAGAGCTTCTCCAACAGGCACGTCGACGATAGCACCGGTACGCTTTACGATATCTCCTTCCCTAATAACCTTATCGTTACCGAATACTACAACTCCTACGTTGTCGGGCTCCAAGTTAAGTGCCATTCCCTGAAAATTGAGGGTCCTTATTCAGTTATAACACAAAAACAATGAAAAATGCAAGAATAAAAGAATGCAAAAAATATCTTACCTTGATACCTGAGTCAAACTCCACCATTTCTTCAGCCTGAATGTTCTTCAGGCCATAGACGCGAGCAATACCGTCTCCGATGGAGAGGACCTAATAAAGAATTGATATCAATTAGGCTGTAGGATTCGTATCAAGGCTATTATGCATTGTTCTTAATGAGCTTAATGCGAGATTATAAAAGAAGTTGATTCCAGTCTAACGCTACAGAAGGAACACTTCGCTTTTTGTACTCTGCAGATTGCCTAATCGTCCGGAATCTATTCATATCACAACAGTAAGACCGCTCGAACTAGCCCATCGACATGTTCTCTTGCTGTGTTGGTCCCAGGAATGCGTACATTTTCAAAAACAACGCAGCAAGCATAAACTGGTAACATATCACACCTTACTTGAGCCCATAGCTATCTAGTTGACTGTATGCAGGAATAAGAATGCAGGAAAAATTAGTTGAAGCCACATGGGTTCCTTGCGAGTAAACATGTATCTATCTTCGGAAAACTTTTATAAGAAGAAACTAATCGAGGAAAGAATAAGGAACAGAAATAACTTGAACGTGAATGTTAGCTATTGATAGCGAGATCTAGAGGAAATCATCAAGAACAGAGCACGGCATAAACTTGAAAACGAATTACAACCTGGACCAACCTTTCCAGTTTCCTCGAGCTTGATGCTGCTTTCTTGACCCAGAATACGCTCTTCAAGGATCTTTGAGACTTCCGAACCGCCAACTGCCATGCTTCGGGCAGTCGTAGCGATTCCTGCATTCTGGGTCGCCTGTATCAAGAATTATAAGTAATTATATCACAGAAATTCGAGTACATAACAAAAATTAGTGGAAAAAACCCGAAGCTTCTTCCCACACAGCGAACCTATGAAAAATTGAATTTCTCCCCATATTAAAATTCTTCTCCAACCAGAAAAAAGTGGTAACTGTGACCAAACTAAAGTACCAACTGCTCTGTAGGAGAACGGGATTCAAATTAAACAGAATTACAACTAAAAAAGCTGATCGAAGGGATATTCTAAACCAACCGGAAACACAGCACAATGCAACTTTACAAACAGCAACTAAAAACCTTACCTTCGCGCTATTTGTGAGAGCAGTAATAAGCCTCTTGGACAACATTTTCCTCCTCGAGGTGGCTGGGAAGAGCCTTCAAGCAGTGGTACAACGAGTTGTAGAGCGAGGAGCCCTCGCAACGCCTAGACAGGACAAGAATGGCTCACCGCCCGAATTGCTGGGAATTTGATTACTGTAGCTAATGTCACTTTGGCTTGCGGCCATTTTTTGGCTGCGTAGCATTTTTGTTTGAATTTCAAAATTAGTTAAGATTCAGTAAGACGAACCTGTCTCCTACTTCTTAGAGCAAGCTAGTTTTTTCTGACTTATTTCGTTCATGTTGTTTTCGATGCTATATCGATTACGCATTCGACAAGACTTATTAGAAACAGAAACAGTAGTTTTTACTGTAATAGTATCACTAAAGTAATTGAGTACTTCGTTTCATCATTTAGTCTTGCTAGTCCATGGTGTTTGTCACTACCCGAAGCTGTAGTAATTGGGTGATCTTTGAAAGAAGTGACTAGGTGAGTCTTGGAGCAACTTAAACAGGATAAAGGAACAGAAAGGAAAGACTGTAAGGGCACTGGATATGATTTACGATAAAGTGAGAAAGTTGTGTTTTTTGAATCATATATTTTTAGCATGAAGAAGAATGAATGAATTTCCTAAAGAATTCCTTCTCTTTTTCATCCATTAATTTGAAGAGTTTTTTTTGAGGGTCTCGTTGTCCTCCTCTTCCCCTCCTTCCGCCCGTGGGCTCATAACACTTTACGGTTCAATGTTTCTATATTTATTAGGCTCATAAGCTATCAACAAACAATTTTGTTTGTTCTTTTTTTCTTGATAGATTGGCATTACTTGTTCTTATCTATCTAGCCCTGCTGACATACAAAAAGGGCAGAATTTCAGAGATACAAATGTCGAGAACCCAGAATTCACCGTTAACACTACTTCTTTGCTATGATATGCTGTCATCTGGGTGAAATTTGAATGGGCAACATTGACTGAGAGGGAGATGCTCCTTGTGATTGTTTGCTCAAAACTTTACTGTGTAATCAACATCTGGAATAAATGCAATGACTGATGAATGAAATCCAGGTGGTCAACAAGCACAAGAAATGGTCTCACCATAATGCCTCTTAAGTGGTATACTCAGGGACATTTTTGAATTACCAATGGCAAGTTACCTATCAGTTCTAGATTATTTTGAGACTGTGATCTTCTTTGGTGTAACGTAGTTTTTCTCGGTTATGTTTTTTGCTTTGTTCTTGTGGAGTGCAGAGTATAACCATTTAGTGTTTCTCATCAAACGATATAGACTTTTCAGTTAAAAAAAACTCGCCTCTCTTTGCTATTCCTTTTGGGGGAAAACTGTCTAAAACTTAGCGACTCGTTTTCAGAATAGGCCTTTCTCCAAGTAATGTCAGCATCTGTTCGATACTACTACTTCCTCTTTAGCTATTTTTTTTATATCAAAGCCATTTTTTCCTTCTTTTCTTTTTCAATTCGTATTTACATCTTTCTTAACATGTTTTTGGTGAAATGGGAAAATATCAGAATCTCGCTCAGCGGAAAACATGCTCAAAACGCTAAGAAAAGAATTATCAGAAACTATTCCCTATGTATGATGGGATTGTAAACAAAGGTGTAAACAACAAACAATGAAACTGAAAAGAAAAGACTCACAAGGGTTAGTTGACGACGAAAACAAGTATACGATATTGTGGCTGTGGCAGTTGAAAATGACGTGAATCATCCCAAACACTAACGGAAGTTAAAACTTGTGAATCCACGTTATCACGTGCTTAATACTTGTAAAGGTCAACTTTACATGTTCAGTTGTGTCACGCTCAGGTTAATTTTGAGCGTCTTTTTTCAAGCTTATTTTTCAGGATTGTTCCCATTTTTGGAGTCGTGTTTATTTGTTTTCCAGTGATTAGTTGCTCTTATATGTCTATAAAGACACAGCTCTATTTGAGTTGTTGTCATTTGTGTTTATTTGTTTATCAGTAACTGGTTGCTCCTATATTCAGTTTATCCAAGCCATAGTTCTTTCTGTTGCTGTAATTCTATGATCTACTAGTGTAAACAAAGCCTGAAACATCAGACTGAAAAGAACGATTAGCAAACAAACATCTCACTATTATCTTCCTTTTTCGTTTAGTTTGTTTTGGCTTAGAATAAACTGTACAATAAGTACCCATCCCTTTTATGAAACACGAATAACTACCAGTAACCTACCATTAACTTTAGTTTAGATTTAAATGCTATATTACTCTTCTTTACACAATTCAACTTGATGTATTTCGGGTTAGATCGTTTTCTTATTTTTTTGGCTGCCATAGGAACTCATCCCCAATATGGAACTCATTATGCATAGGAAACTGTTTTTTAATCTTCCACGCTTTATTTTTTGCTTTTTTTTTGACTTATGCGGATTTATCCTATATATTTTGAACTTGATCGTTTTCTCAGATGCTCTATAGCTTCCATTTTGATTGCGCTTAATTTAACTGTCTAATAACTTTAACTTCCCAGTGATTATTTCGACTCAATTACAAAGTTCACTTTATAGATACAATGACGGATACGACCGAGAATATGTCGACTGAGACGGAGCCGGCTACTTCCGCCGCGGAAACTGAAAGTGCTCCTAACAATGGCAGCCAAGCTGAAAACGACTCTAAAGTAGCACATAGTGCCTCTTCTTCGACGATGGAAGTGGACCATGGTCCTTCAGTCGTCATACCACAAGAACGCGACATGCACTCTAAAGAAGCTGGCGTTGACTCACAGATCTCACCGGCTCCAAGCTCATTTCGTGATAGAACACAATCGGAAGCGGCCTCTTCCATAAGGTAGTTGCCCGTTTACTCGATTTCTTTAATTAGTTCGTTACTGTTAGAACTACATTTGTGGATTTTCAGTGATCAGGATGATGGATTAGAGAAAAGAAGGAGGCGCTCAACTCGAGACATAAAACGGCCGAAATTTGATGATGAATTGGTTGATAGCGGAGTGGCAAAGTTGCTGTCTCCCCGAGTAAGTCTTACTTGGATCTATACGTTCTTTGTTAAGGTTATTTGTTTCTGAATTTATTCGGATTTTTACAGAATGCCTTCTATTTATTCAGTACTGTACTTCTTATTAATCTGTAATCCAACATGAGCAGAGTGTTACTAGAAACCTTGATTTTTATCTAAATAATCGAAATTGGCGTTAAGAGATGCAGTATGCGTTGGGCGTGCGATTGTGGTGCTGCCTATTGATGGATTTACAATCGTTTTGAATTTGTTAGGGTCAACTACGTTGAACTAAGCTGTGGAGTTATTTCTGGAGGTTATTTCGGGATTATTTTGTTGGCTTTACAGCAGAATCCCATCCCTCGCCACGCATCGATTCTTTGATCATGGTTTCGCTTATAAAAATTGTTCTCGTCGGTGGCCCTCAAATCGAAAGCCCAGCAAGCCACAGGAAAACGTAATCAAAAGTGCAAATGGTTCTATTAAAATGGGAACTTTAAAACTGGAAGCTGTGTCAAAGCCCGATCATGGAGGTCGCTGTTTATCGATTTCCTATGAAGGAAAATGAAACTCATCTCACAAAAACGAGTCCAGCGCCAGAGACGCAGGGTATTTGAATATATCTGAGAGCATTCGCAACGTAGACCTGCCACATATTGCACAGCTTGTTTAATGCGTTTTCCGTACATTTTAGATTTCGCTCCATGCAACTGAATTGTTCGGCCTTGACTCTCCCCAAAATCTTTAATGGATTGATTGTGGATCAAAACGTGAGCCACCTTTTCGCGCCTGTCTCCCGAACTGTTCACCGTGCCGTTCTGTATTATTTTGCCTCCTCATTTTCGTGCCACTCTTTTTATCAGTTTTTCAAATGTAAAATCATTCGTGTCCTTTAGACTTGGGTGCGTATCTATCTGATCTTGGGGGTTCTTAAAGTTTCAGAAACGTGTAAGTGGCGAACGACTGATGCACTCTCCGTCGGTGAATTCAGCGGAGAATGGTGCGTCAAAGTCCCACAATTGGTCATCCATGGCTGATCCCTCACAGAGCTCGGCCATGACAGATGACAAAAGCGATGGGAAAACTCTCTTTGCCCAACCTCAACCGGTCGGAAAAGAAGATTCCTCGAAGGTGTGTTATGGATCCTGATTCAATAGGGCATAGGCAAAGTTAACAGTGGGTCGTGAGAGGTGATAGAAATGCTTCGATCATCGGTTTTCTCGGAGGAATTCCCCCGTGAAACATTAATTTTCTTTTTGTGGTATTTCTAAGTCTATGGTATGAATAGCCAAACCCTCTGTTTTTTGTCGTTCTTTGAAAAAACCTTCGTTAGGTGGTTCCCTTTATAAGCTCTTTCTTCATTACTCAGTAATACGACATATAATATGAATTAAACACTTATACGGTTTGCTTTTTCGTATTTTGTTTTTTTTTTCTCGTAAAATGGTTTTCTTTCACCTAGGAGGATTATTTCTTACTTCATGTAACTTCATTTGCTTCAAGAGTAAATAGTTTCACCAATAGTTATATTTGTTCTGCTCTCAAATTTTGCGTTTAGGTCGAAAGCTCTTCCACTCCAGCGGCTAAGCATGCTCATTCGTTAAGACGAAGACCGACGCACAGCATAGAAGATCGTCAGGCCGCTGAAGAGGAAGAGGAAGCAGCGAAAATGGAGAAGAAGCGCCGTGAAGCAAGGATTGCCCAAAAAGACATTCGATGCAAGGTTCGAACCCATTCTTCTAGACCTTGTGGAACTCCTTCAATAGTTTTTTTTATATTGACGCCGATGATATTTAGGAGTTAGTTGCGGCGACGGAAGCGGCAGATGGTATGACTTCAGCCGAATTGCGACGCTGGACAGCAGCAGACGACGTAGCATTAGTTACTGCTGTGACACATGTGGGTTTTAGTGTTGATTCATTGATTTGGGCGTCTGAGAGGCTTGAGTCTTTCTGAACTCCCCGTAACAATTCGATCTCCCGACTTCGGTTTTTAACGAATTTTCATCATACTAAGCTGATTCATCGTACATTCCATACGATCAATCGGGTCGACATGTTGGCCATTAAAAAAACCCTTCTTACAGAGTTTTTTTTNTTTTTTTTATCCTCTCAATTTACAGGTGCATGACCTGCGCGCCGCCTACGGTAGTATCAAGTTTAGTCGACCATACACATTGGAGGACATCGAAGAGAGGTAAGAGTTTCTGGAGCTGTAAACGCAATATGTTGGCATATCCTTCTTTTGTCAATATAATGACTTGAACTCTTTGTAACTGAGAGTTGGAGCCAAGTCCTCTCAAATGGTATTCGACTTTGCTTTTGACCATTATTAATTTCCTTTTAGATCTTTGGAGTTATTTGTTGAAACTTCCTGTTTTTGAAAAGTGGAACACAGCAATTTCAGGTGGTATCAGCTAATGTATGATGACACCCTCTCGAGACAAGCTAAGAAGAGAATGAACGAGTTGCCCGTTGAAGAAATCCTGCGAATTCAGGTATGGCCATTTTGTTTACATTTCTGCCTAAACTAAATGGCGTCATATCGAAGGAATGGAAAAATTAATTTTCTCTTGCTACCATTGGTTTGAAAATACAACAGCTGCATATCGCAGAGTTTTAATGGTTGTTGTAGGATCTATTGAACTTGACCCTTATAGGCATACCTTTGGGATACTTACAGCTCTGAAAGAGCATCAAGTAGTTAGGCTGTTTTGAAATATTATATTAAACGTTTTTTTAGTCACGCACTGCATTCACAATGAGGGAAGAGGACTTGCTGCGCGGGCTGGACCTGGGCAATTTATCCTGCCCAGACCGAGCTATGATGGAAGATTTGATAAAGAAGTATCCTGAAGATTTCCATTCGGCGCGTACCCCTCAATCATTGCTGGATCACTGGCACATTCTGAACTCGTAGGTTTTATAAGTTTATTTGAATTAACGGCAAAAATAGAAACAACATATTTTGAAATATTCATTTACAAAGACAAAAGTAATTAACAACCGTGAAATGACGTGTTGACTTGATACCGACAAGGAAATTTGAGCAATTACGAAGGGTAATATATAACAATAGCATTGCGGGCCGCGTTAAGGGGAGTTTTAACGGAGAGGATGTGGAGGCGGAGTATCGATTGACTCGCGCGACGCGACAAACGTGACGACGACAGCGCATTACATGACATAGCGATGTAATAACGTTAGCCTGAGGTTTCTGATGGAATTTCCCTTCATGAGGAGCTTTTTAGTCGAGGGCCCTGTCCTACAGACAGCTGTGTCTGCGGTCGTTGGTCTGAAACGCGACGCGTCGATGTTCTTTCTGGTATATCGATCTCGATCCACCGGTCGCCGTTGCAGCCGCACGCGTTCCTGCCATCCATCGCGGACATGCTGTCTGAGGGACAAGAACTATTCCAAATGCTTGCACTCATGAGACAAATTCTAACAAAAACCTCGACCCGGTATAGTTAGGAATTTAACAACATTATATTAGAATTTTTCTGTATATATATGGCAGTGTTTTTATCAGCTGCGATTATGCTTATTCATCATGTCTAGAAATGATCATCAATTGATCTGATATAGTTCAGCGCATCGAAAACGAGACGCGGCACATATACAGGGGGATGATGGCGGGCGTAGGGCTGAACTGACTCTGAGATTTAAGAAATACAATTTAACAGCGAGTTGTGTGATCTGATCGGTTAAGCGCGTCTATTTGCAGATATGGAATTCTGACTCCTGGACCGCAATCGGGCCTGGTCGACTGGGAATTGCTTGAACGAACATACGACCTCACCGGCCGCGTGAACTTCGACGAGACCAGAGCTCTGAACGCTGCAGCCTCATGCGACGCACGCGAACGCGAGTTCTCAAAGGTCGTCGTTCAGCCAGTGACCGGCATATGCAGTCCCGCAACCGACGTTCGAGCTACTCTACGTGGTCGGGTGGTTCGTTACCTCGTTCGAACTGATCGGGTAGTGCTCGGTCGCAGTACACCGCGCGATCCCGTCGACCTAGACCTCGCGTTGGAAGGTCCTGCCGAGAAAGTTTCGCGACGGCAGGCGGTGATCGCTCGAGATCCTGCGACCGGCCAGTTTGAAATGACGAACGTCGGTGCCAGAACCGTATTTGTGGATGGCAAACCGCTCGGAACCAACAATCGGACGCGTCTTGCCGACAACTCGATCATCCAAATCGCCATCATACGCCTCGTGTTCCGGATCGGTCAGTGAGAGGAGGTGCCGCACCGTATCATTCAGCCGATGTTTCCGGTCTGAAATAATGGATTTTGTTCCATGTATATTTCTCCTAATAATTTCTTTATTTTCCAAGAGGTGTTGTGAAGTTTATGATTGTCAATAAAACATAACTACTAGTGTTTAGAGTACAGACTTCAAGGGAAAGACCAAAAACGTCAACCACGACGTGTAGTCGCAAAGTGATCACTTCAGAATGATAAAAGTATTGTTCTTACGAGCCTAAACTCATGGAGCCGAAGGCATGTGAACGAACACAAAAATACGAGTTTTTTAGAATGGATAGCCGCTACTTCAAGAACGATAGTGCTCAATTAAGGAGAACGAATCGAAAATCGTTTTTTTTATAGTTCCCGTGAAGTAAAGGGGTGGTGGAAGTAGAGAGACTTACCTGGGAGGATGAGCCGCCGTTCGAACCGGCAGCGAATCAGAGCTAAGTTGTTTTGGCAAATTTGACGAATGCAATTCGTCCCGTTTAGGTGGTTTACATTGTTGAGGTTTTTTGGCAGCTCCCATATTGAAGATGAAATTTCGCCATCCTAATCGTCTAGATCCTTGTTGCTGGGCTGCAGATAACACTCCCTGAAATATGAATAGTAAGGGATCGATCACATGGCAGGTATTGGGGTTAATTTTTGCTATGCGAAGCATGTAATTCTCTAATCACTTGGAACGATGCCATGTTAAATTCAATCATGTACCATTACTCATGACTATATCGGAATCTTCCCTATCCAACATATTTTTCAAATCAATGAAAAAAACTAGAAATAAGCCTAGTTACCTTGTAGATTTGTGATCGAACAAATCGTGGGTACGAGTCTTTAGCCATGAGGGTGAATACATGCTCTTCAGAATGTGTGAATGCATGACGTCGTGTCGACGCTGTCGTTGCCTTTTGCAGACAATCCAGTGTCTGATCCAATGTTCGAGAGTCGACGTTAACCTGGAAATGGAATAGGTCATGTCCCAGAACATAGCGGGCATTGTTCCAAAAAGAATACCTGCGCAGGTGCGCCGGGTGCCAGAAACTCTTCATAGATCCGCTCCGTTTTCTGATCGATTTGCTCATTGGGCGAGTATTTGAGGTCTTGTATCGCGATCCAGAATCGAATGTTCTCCGATGAGAACTCGGATTCAAGGAATGTTTCGAGAACCTGGAACCCAGTTAGATAAGAGCCCGTCCCTTACAGTTCAATTTTTTCGAATTATGGGTTGGAACCTTACCTGGCGTCCTATCGGGTCTTTTACGAGCTCTTGTACGGACAAACCCCATCGTTTCACTCGCCTTTCCGTTGGCACTTCAACTCTGAAATGAGGCACATAAAAACGAATAAGGACTGATAACTACTATGGAATAACTACCATGCGTGTGTGTGAGTTCATATTAGTATCGGGGTGGACCTAGGACCTGTTACGCACTGAAGCCCATTACAATGCCTTGCGAAGGCCCTCCGATTCACAACTTTATTGGAGACTTCTAAAGGATTTTTGATGATTCGCCGCAGTGGACTATGAAGATTCATCGAGAGGGAGTGGGTCGCGATTGTCCTTGCTGGGATTGAACTCCCTAGATCGTCCGTTTGATATGAGCGCCACCTCCCAATCTCAAAAAATGTATGCCTGGGTTTGCTGACAAATTCTCACTACTTATCAGGGTATGTAGAGTTACAGATGGAATCGATTCGAACTTTAAACGGCGCACTACCTAGGATAATGAATTGCTTTGCCACACGAAACCAGCAGTATGACTCAAACAGTACGGCACTCATCAAAAATAAGGTACTGTAGGCATAAAAAATTTCTCAAAAATCGGACCCAACTTTACTGCGAAAATTGCCACAATGAGAAAAAACGGTAAGGCAATGAATACAAGTCGATTTTACTCACGTATCAGTGTTGAGCGCCCAAAGGTTGGTGTCGTCGGTAATCCATGGATTCGACGGTTGCGGTGCGGTGAGGAATGGATCGTAATCTACCCGTTGATCTACCCATTGCACCATTCTGAATCGATACAATCAATATCAAAGTTAAATGTGGAAGTACTGATGAAATCCTTCAAAACTACTCACGTGTCTGACGCTTTTAAAGCCTTTAACCATGGTTTCGTTTTCAACGAAAACTTGAGACGATCAATCAGATTACGGTAACCTTGCGCTGTGGCTTTACGCAACCGTCGATCAACCTGGAATGAACCGAGCTATATTTAACCGCTTCAAAAGAGGATCAAAAGGTGCTATTTCATCAAAATCAATTGCTCCTCTCCTATACAAACCCCAGAAAACTTATGTCTAAAATCTGGGTACGTGAAGGTTCGCGAGATTTTTTATTAATTGTTGAATGAAGGTTACCAGGTGAAGCATATTGGAAAGTGGTTTGAAGACCAACTTGTGACAATGAGAAACGGTTCCAAAAAACTGAATGGAGTTCGAGACTGACCTTTTGAACGTGTTGCTCAAGAAAGTCCGGATGACTAGGTCGACGAAGTCGCCAGAAAGCTCTTTCCTCGGAGTCGTACACTACCTGAAATTCAAATAGAGTATGTAAACCCATTCTTAAGCCTACTTCATTTCGCATTATATGTTCAGTTCCAAGAATTAGGGAGAAACCAAGGCGTAGACCACCACAAAGTAAACGAGAGCGAAAACGATTGCTTGCAAAAAGAGGTCTAATTATGAACTTCTAACTAAACCAAATTATTTCACTGGTAACAGATTCTATTGGAAAAAAAGAGAAACTTGAACATCGGTTAAACCAGTACTTATACGAGTACCTCCAATGAAAGGGTTTCAATCAGAAGTCAGATGCGTGGCGCAGCCTCAAAGGAAACTAATCAACCCTAACCAATTCGTTATCATTCTACCTACTTTTCTGTTTCAGCTTCCTAGCCGAAAACGGGTCCCATAGCCAACAAATTACAAATTTCTCTAGAAGGCATAACTGGGCGTGGATCTCATTAGAATTCCAGCCATTAAAAGAAGCGTACAGCTAGTAAATGAAGGTCCAAATGGTTCGAATTCTGCGCAGAGGTTTCATTCTAGATACAACAGCATTTTTGGCTAGGAATTTGGCTGATAAGTTCTGATAAGCCGTAGTTGAAGCGACAGTAAGACGCTTAGGAAATAGTGGCCTTTGACATGCGAGCTGTTGGGCCCATGGTGACCAGAAAGCATAAATCCGGGTTTAGACGTTAAGAGCGAACGTTACTGAATCAATTTGAATGCAGAATAAGTATTTAAATGCCACTTCCGTCATGCCTTTTGCATCTCCAAATCCCATTTTAAGTAATTTTGACATAAAGTGTGGGAAGAATTCAATCTGGGTTCTCATGAACAGAGGTTTCAAGGGATTTCAAGCATAAGACCTTGCCGTATTAAGAAGAATTTAAAATGCGTGGCTTGATTTTAGAACCGAGCATATAGCGTTTGAAGAACCAGTCGGGTAAGCGAAAATTACATCTGAACAGTCACTTCGCTAAACCATACCTTATCGGCTTTCTTTTTCTCTTTTTGTTGCTTCAATTGCATTTCCGCTTGTTGTGTGATGAATCCCCACATGTGGCCTAATAATTCGGCGAATCTACAACGAACCGTTTTTATTTATCGCAAATCGATTGTATTGATTAACCATTGAAACTAACCTATTATACGATTCAGCTTCATCTTCTTCTAGCCCGTGCTTCTGTTCATTCCTGAGTAAGCGTTTATTGAGGTAGATTGCTGAAAAATCAATAATCGATTTCCTTTACTACTTCGCCACGACCGACAAGTAGGAGCTAATTCACGATTAATAGGCTTTGAGCATTTTTCATCCATATTGTTATTTATAATTAAAATTTATTTCAGACCCATTTCAATATGTCCTTCAATATTTTTGCTTTTAATTTTCCCCCCTTTCCAATTATTTTTCCTTTTTCTTCATCCAGCTCTCAACCAATTCTTTTCGTGTTTCAGAACACTTAAACCATATTTTGAAGTAGTGCATGGCTACCAATGCCATTTTTCTCATCGTTACTTTACAGTAATCGTTTGAATACAAATGTGCATCTAAACAAATGATCTGGACGGCTGTGAGAATACTTTGACGGAACTTTAAATAGTGATTATAAAACCAAAGTGGATTCATTGAAGCTTGTCATTCTTTATTTGGTTGTTAGGGAATTAAGATTTGATTTTCAATACTTATCAAAGGCGGTTATTTGGAACTGATTAATCATGTATTTCGAAATGCGCCGAGCATTCGACACTCAATCAGAATCGTTAAGGCGTTTTGAAGGTATATGTGTTCTATACAATGATTTGAGGTGGCCAGCCGATGTATTAGTCAGTGCTTTTATCCTCCCAGACGAGTGTGGTAGCAGTTCACAGATGTTGTAAGGATGGAGGGCTTGATTGGTCGGGTAGTCATCGATCCGGGATTCGTTACATAGGCCATAAAGTTCGCTTCAAAGTTTCTGCTTCATAATATATGGATCTACGTCCTTAGTAGTTGTAAGACCCCACCACTGAATGAGTGTCGGCTTTCACTGCCTGCTTCTGAAATATCTTCACAGACACCCAAGTTCCTCGAACTAATCCTAAGCCTTTTACTAAGGAAATCTTAGAAGGATTTGGCCCTGTTCGGCATATTTTCAGAGGCGGTTCATCTCAGTAGTAGATGTCATCGGTGCGTGTGTAAATTAAACTATTCTCGAAAGCTAGCTGTGCAGTTGAGTGTCTGACTGGCCGGCTGGATGGCTGGCAGCCCCCACCCCTCCCCCAGGCTGGCTGGAGTGAGGGGGGNGGGGGGCAGAGCAGTGCTGGCATACTATTGATCAGAGCGGTGCCGCTAACAAGCAGACCGCATTCGGGGCATGCGGACGAGAAGAGAGGACAGAGAGGACGACCGGAGAGCCCAGAGACGAGTTGAAACCGATGACGACGACCGGCTGAAGCTGTAGCCGGTTGGCTGGCCATCGCTGTCGGGCTCTCAGACCACCCCCTTCGGGCCAAAATTGGTCAGTGAATCGTTGCGGTGAAGAAAAATCACATTGATGCTGCAGGACGAGAAAAAAAAAACCGCCCACCACAAAAGGACAATAAGTGGATAGAACAATGGACTCAAACTAGAGCAATAGGCAATAAAAGGTCGTCCATGCTTGAGAGGTGGGCTAGAAAAACATACTGATCGGTTCCATAAAGCTGGAAAAGTTCTCAGCTAACGACAAACTCCATTAAAAATCATCCAAATAGGTTTAAAATGACCTGTACAATACTACATCCAGAGATAGCTGGGAAAGCTCCTAATTTACGATTGTTCCATTTCTAAATAGCTCCCAATGTGACTGAACTTATGTATGTTTCAGTTCGACTGCGCCCCAGACCACTCAGCCGTTCCATTACCGAAAGTCTACAGTTCAAAAGGTAAAAAGCAACCTTGACCACCCGTGATCTTACAAAGCTTCAATCAAGCCTTCTAATCGCTATTGAAATGTGCTGGTGAATCTGGTTATGGGTAAAAGCGTGGCTCAATCTGACGCAACTGAGAAGTCCCTCGAGCACCCGTTACTTCTGGAGTTCATTTAGAAAATATTTCAATATAGGTAGGAGCCTTTACAAATTGAAAGGTTGAGTTCATCACCATCATCATCAAACAGCGGCCACATCTTCACTACTTCAATCACTTCCATGATACTCAATTAAGGGGGTGTGCATGGCGTACACAAGATTCCATTGCCATACTGTTTCTTTTTTTTTTGAGATTGCAGTTTTAGCGGATTGATACATTCACATAGATATGGAAATTTGGAGTGATATTTCATATTGCGAAATGAAATCTCGTAATAATGAGTGGTAATGAGAAGTTATCCAATGAATTTTCAGTTTCGCAAGGTTGAAGTTATGTGCAAAAGTTTGGCCTTGGACGAAAATCGAACCCGCACTTATGCTTTGAACATCAAGTCGAAACGAAGTCTCGAGTTTTTCGTCCAGAAATAGTTTCAAGTATTACGGTGAATCACTAATATTTTGACAGCCTTCAGATATCCTTCCCAAAATCTAAATTTAGCTTGAAAAAGGTCAGCTAACACCTCAATTTAATATTGACAGATTCTTCAAAAAGAAAAGCAAGGGGAACAAAGTGAGTACTTGCAAAATTATTCTTAAATATTTTCCGAAATAATTAGCTTACAGGGGATCAAATTTACGAGTCCTTCCCATAAATGAGGACCTACCAAGTGTTCCTATGTAGTAGTAGGAAGTATCATTGAAGGAAAAGTTTCGATAAGATCACAGGCCGGTATTATGAGAACATGCTTTAGAATAGGCACGTATCAAATACCTTGACCATTCCAAAGAGAAATCGAATGAGAGCCCATTCATTATATGAGGATGGGCCAATACCGACCCTTCTTCAAAACATGAACTTTTGTTTACCTCTAATTAAGAAAAAAATTAGTAAAAAATTATATAAACACTATAAACATTGGAAAAGTATTAGAATACTTCCCAATATTCAGTCTTTGTTAATGCATATTTATATTCTCCTATATATAGAGCGTTTGCGTAAAAATTCAAAAATAAGGTAGCAAATAGTAAAATAACATATTAACAATATATTTACAGAATCATACTGAAATTATGATAACAACAAACTATAATAATCAACCATATGCCACTCAGAACATCAGTGGCTCACTCTTCATTAGGATGGCTAGATAAATTATAGTTTTCTGAGCCGTTGGAAAACCAGAAAATTAGGATTCAAAAATAAACTAAATATTCTCATATCAGAACTAGCTACGAATTTCAGTGCGCTCGATACCAATTAAATATGAAAACAAACTGACCATACTCCACATTGTCCGTTTGTGTCGCGTGTGACGGCCAAAAATACGGTCGTTGTAATCGATAGAGAGTACCGTCATCGCGTACGGTCAAAGCCGGTTCAATAACCGGGAATAGGTAGCCGTGTTGTAGTAGTAATGTAGCCAAATGTACAGCTTCGGCTTCATCTTCGGCATAGCCCTAAAACGATTGGCCGATTGATTAGGATTGGAAGCGGATGGCTATTGAGGCAGAAAAATCGATGGTGAATGACGTGGACACACCAGCTTCATGTCAACTCGGCGCAAATGACAGCCGGCTAGGGACATAAAAAACATTGAAAATGAAAATATTCGCCATGAAATAGCGATTTTCACTATTTTCATGCGGATATTGATTAATAGGTATGCTAATCGATATATCGATTGATTCATCATTTACGGAATAGAGAAGTATAATGAAGGGGAACTGGATTTGAATTTGTGTACCACGGTTAAGGACATTGCTGGCTGGTAGGGTAGAACTACCAGCCGGCAATTTTCTCAACCCTGACTGATTCAGGGGTTAACCGATTTTTTCAAAAGAGATGTCTAAGTTTTAATATCTACGAAAATTATCAAAAATTGGGATCAAAGTAATGAGGTAGGGTGGGAAAGGTGGTTGGATAACAGTTTAAACACTTAAGGATTCTTACCTTCTCTCCCACAAGGGCAACCAAAGACTGCCCTGTAAGTGCTTGTGGTACCGCAACCCGGAAGTATTTATGTGTTCGGAGTTGTACGCTTTCTTGTAAACGGCGACTCAAAGTGTCCAACTAAAATAGCAGATAAATGGAGATTTTTTGATAAAAATTTGATGAAAAACAGCAGAATTTTGAAATTTTATGATTTTCACAGAAATAATTGCCTTTTCAAGAATTCTGTCAAAGCCATGCCTTCAAAATAGTCACCGTTATCGTTGCCTTGCATGCTGTCAGATTTTAAAAAAATGAGCATCAAATTCCACTAGCGGACGGTTATTGAAACTATTTCAGGCCTGTTCGGACCATTCCTTCACTGAAACAACCAACTACGATCCTCTGTAAAGAGCAGCCCCACTAGCGGCTTACCCTAATGGGTAAGCTAGGTAGGTATCGGCAGTGCAGCCTTAAAACGCTGCCGTGCACTTGTGTTACGGTTGCAAGTCCTTATTTACGTAGGCGGATCAATAACCGCTTTAAGCAGGGTGAAGCTGGAGATTGTCATGGCTCAGGCTCAGCTCTGATTTCTCAAAAACGTTGCTGTCAGCTGGAGCAGCTGGTGCAGCTCACCTTAGCAAATGGAATTGTGCAGCTCATACACGATGACGATGGACGACGACGACCGCGACGACGACAGCAGCGTGCCGCACACACGAGCGATGGATTTCCGATAATTCGAGCGCGGAGGCTGGGGACCGCCGCTGCCGCGCTGCGCCCGCCCGTCCGTGTCCGCCCGCCCCTATCGGTGTGGCCGTTGCGACCACCCTCGTCGCTCTGCGCTCAGCCTGAACTGCACCGGCACACCAGCACACCACCACCACAACCACCCGTCGACATCGCACCCGGCCGGCCGGCGGCTCAGTTCACTCTGGGAGCTGACGACTGGCTCTGCTGCAAGCAACAGTTCTCCTCCGCCTCAACACTGTTCTGTTCTACCACCGCTCTTCCACCGGGTTGCTGACTGAGCTGCAGTCAGAGCAGTACAACCACGCATCCGCAGAGACCTTAAGGATAGAAGGATCAAGTATTTTGGTATTGATCAATCTTGAATGGGATGCGGTCCGCATTCGACTTCCACTCGCATCGTAGTGCCGTTTCGAATGCAAATGTAGCTTATACAATAGCCTGCGATGTCCAGTCGATATACAAGTCAGTGCTTCCCAGACGAGTGTGGTACCAATTCACCGACCCCGGAGGAATGGAAGGCGTGGTTGGTTAGGGGGAGCGTCAAGGCGATAACATGACATGCAAGAAGAGCTCCTGTCATGACCAACCTTACTCTAACCCTGAACGCTTGAATTGTTGTTTTCCTTTTTAATATTTAGAGCAAAAAAAAGAAAAGGATAAGAATGACATAAACGGAACAAAAACAAAGAACACAAAACAACAGAGAAAAAATTGTGAGGCTGTTGAGGAAAAAAAAAACGTGTTTGGTTACGTAATTAGGGAATGGTCTGAAAAACCTAAAATCGGTTCGATGATTCATTCCCAGGTAATTTTGGTGCCCAGGCCTATATATTCTGATACCGTACAAAGAAACGATAACCGGTGGATATGTCAAGGGCAGGACTTTCATCAATTTTGAGAAGGGATTTTTTCGTAAAAGTCAAAGTTTCCGTGTTTTGCCCTCTGATATTAATTCAACTAAAAGTTTTCTTAAAAATTATTCCGCTGGTCTTGTTTTTCATTGAACACAGCCGATAGAACTAGCAAATGAATGTTTTTTCGCGAACAGAAATCAATTGTATGGCGCATACCCATAAGTTTGGCCTACGGCTCCATGAAACTCAAAAAGAAAAGTTCAGTCGACTGGGACCTCTCACACTATCAGCTGGGAATACCTGTGAATGGAAACTAGCTGGAATTCCTTAACGGTTGGCCACAAACCATAGGCATAGGTACCGTATCAATCCGCAAGCGATCCGAAGAGAGCTTCTCTGTAGATGCAATTCGACCAATGAATGAACCAAGAATCGAAGATCCTGTGAACACCTGAAAATTATAGATAAAAAAAAATTAGAAATTAAATTCGAACTCGAAATATCTTTATATTTGTAATACAAATTTCGTTATAAGAACTTGCTGCCATCTCAAGCACCTTTAATTAGTTTTCTTTTGCTGCCCAGGATGACAGGGGTACTCAGAGAAGCTACTGGTCGGTCTTCTATACCTTCTTAGGGAATTGCCCTCAGACTTATTTCCTAGATATCCGCAACGAAGTTTCGTGCACAGAGCTTCTGGATCAGCTTTTTCCTCGCTTTAGATCGAAAAAAAACTTCATCTATGGGGAACTCCGATAAATAAGAAAATCAGAGATTAATAGCGAAGGTAGTGCTGCTCTTCACTCAGCGTAAAAACACCATTGACGTCAGCCGATGTGAAAGATAGGGGATAGAGCTCGAAATTGATCAATGGCTTTTTTACTCGTTTGTGTTACGTTTTCAAATCCCAATCAGATATGAATTATAGAGAACTCGAGTTTGTGTTAGGCCAATAAAAATAAGCAGAGGCAGTTTTCGTTTCTTTNTTTCCTCCCCGAAAACTTATTCTACGGTTTTTAACTTTATCACTTGGTATTACTAGCTTACTAGCACTGAGGAAATGTACGGATTAGTCAATGACCGACTCTCGATTAATCTCGGCATGGCCAAAGATTGTTTGGTCTTGGGCGGAATTGATCCTCAGACCACACATTTGTTTGCAGCAATGTCACCCACGTTGTTTCGGTACCAATTTGAATACATTCAAATCTCTTTGATCCTATCACCCTAACATTATTTGGTCCTCTTGAAAACTGTATTCGAAATTTCTAATAATTTCCGCTTCACGGTAATTACTTCACGAAAATACGAAAGCCTGCATTGATACAAGTGACACACTGTTAGTGAATTCGATTGGGCTTCTCGAGCTTTTCCTGTGGGGTTCGAACCCAATAAAAATGGTGAATAAGAGGGAAAACCCGGTAACAGAGTAGTCGCAAACCTAGGGCCCAAACCAATCGCACCTTTCATCCCTGCAGGGTCGGCTGATTGGTATACGAACCTGCCTAGAAGGACAACAGGACTGTACATCAGGATCAGCACGAACGCATTGTCGCAAACAATCTAACCATTCAAGCATTACTACGATTCCGAATGTCAGCAGAATGCAGGGCGCATTCTGAAGCGGAAATGGTAGCAGCCGGAAAACCTTATCTTTTATTCATTGTCTTGTATATAAAATTTGTTTCCCTATCTAAGAAATGCACATTCAGATTCACACGCTTCCACAACGACGGGGGAAAGCGGTGTGAGCATTAGTAGCAGCTGGAATTACAATGACTTCGTAGCATAAATTCGACGTCTTTTGATCTATACATTCTAAATAAGGTCCCCCTGAGGGGCCATGGCGTCATGATGCTGGAATAATCGAGAACACCTTTTCCTTCAAAATACCGCATGCAGCTGTGCAAAATCGGAGCAGCGCGATGGAAATTAACAAAGCTAAGCACTATCGGTTTCATAGAAAGTATCTTCTTAACTTGATTCCAATCTTGAGTAAGCAAGGTTTTGATATCAATGAAATCGCTGAAGAATAGCAAGTAGAGTCAAAAAGCGAGTAAATATTTGTCCACGACAGTCGATACACTCGGAACCACTCAATCGACAGTTCCACAGTCGAAAAATTACACGATCTATTTCTTACTGAAAGGAGTTCAAGATTTACCTGTAATTCGGGCGTTACATGGAATGGACCACTATTCCGGCCTTAGTAGTCAAATGCAGAAAATCTACGGCTGTTAAAGTCACAGTTCACGAAAAATTCGCGGTATCTAGTTCTAGACGAGTAGTGAAAGTGATAGTCCATAATAGTGGCGAAGAAAAGGCGATAATCCGCGGATTTAGAGAAATATGAGGTTTCAAAAAAGTATATTAGTATCAGGGACTGGACGAGAATGTGACGACAAAGGTTCCATGGAAGGGATGTTCGGACGAGTTGTCCAGATATAAGCGTCATTGAGTACAGCTGACCATAGTATGCTGCCAACGTGTGCATCCCTGTCGAATGGGGCGACTGCCCTCTACAACAACTGAACTATGCCTTTAATGACGATTGCGGCTTCTACGCAAAGGGGCCAGAGGCATTTTGAGCGAGTTAGGGGATGGGGATATAGTATAAATGAAACTTTTAGTGTTAGTAAGACATCATTAGCTGATTTGACGAAAGCCTCGTTGACTTCTGAAGGGGAAATTTGAATTGGGAAGCTGAAGAAAACCACTAGGAAACTGCTGAACAGTAACACTACTCTGAGCTAGTTCGGGATGGTTTCAAGTACACAAGGCTTCAAATGCCAACTCTAAAGCTTTGGTGTCTCCCCCTTACTCAGGAGCCAAGTGCAGATATTATTTTTGAGGAAACATGTGACAGAACAACTTGTTATATTAGGCCCGCTATATAACTACGTGTATCTCCTACAAAGCGTGTGCCATCATCCGGAAAAGGTGCGATAAAAATGTAAAGAAAAATTTGTAGAAGGTGGTGGAGACAATGGTAAACGAGGTAGAAACGAGATCAGATAGAAAAGCTTCTTATGAGAACTATTTGAAGGCACCGTTAAGGTAAGAATGGTTTCTAAGAGTTCCCCTTACGATGAATCTGTCGCCTCTAAGGATAGCACGAGTCGAGAAACGATCTTGACAGGGCGTTAGAAGGGCTCCAAACCGACCTGGCCGGCGTACCCAAAAGTGGCCGTGTTATGGCGGTCTTGTCTAGGCTGCACCATTCATAGTGAAGCGTTAGAACTCACACGAATAGTACGATCAGGTGGGAGACACCCAGACGATCACAGTGGACATAATCTCGTACAACCCTCTTTCTTATTACTTTTTTTTAAACCCTAACATTTCAAATCCGTAAGCCTCGAGCTATTTCCGCCATTTTCGCATTATAGTCAAGCCTTGAAATTATCGCGAAATGGGCCCTCGAAAACCACACTTCACCCTGGAAAATACTATTACCCAAATGTCTCTAGCTGTTAAACCATTCAGAAGGAATCCTTTCAAATTCAGCGATTTCCCCTACGAACTTCGTTATTGGGATCAGTATCCAGAGCTCTACCAGAGACACAAATAATGAACGATACAGCAAAAATGCTTGAAAATGAAATGAAAAGAAAATGGATAGGACAATTCACCGATAAACGCCTGTAGATTGGATTGGCTTGATCTCAAGCTTTGCAGAGAAAAAAAACCACCGCTTAAACGAAGTCGAGGGATTGGCAAAAATAAGAGACCGCGCATTGGATGAGGTCGCAGACGACGAGAGGTGGCTTGACTCTATCGACTGTAGATCAAGCGACAGGCAGCCGCGTACCATATTGGCAGTAAAATGAAGATCAATACAGATTTTTCTTCAAATTTTCCATGTTCAGTCTTTCAAGTTTTGTGCTGATTACATAAACGGAAATCGGAAATCTTTTCCTAAGCAGGAAACCCCTTGGAGAATAATGGGAGAAAGCCCTTCTTAAAAAGTGGAGGGTCGGTATCTTATCCTCAATTGGCATAAGGAACTCTAATTCACAGAGTTCAAGAGGTTGATTAGCTCACTCCTTCCAAACTTCGCGAATGATACGGTTAATCGTATTGTGTCTGAAAAGTGCCGTGAATTCTTCAAATTATAAAGCCTATTAAAATCTTCCCGTGTTGATCAATCCCGTTTCGGAATTGCGCACCGCATTCGACTACCATTTTGAACCATAGTGGCGGTTTGAATGCGTATAAGGCTCATACAATGAATTGTGGTGGCCGACAAGTCAGTGTTTCTGCCCTCCCAGCCTAGTCCTAGTCTGTAGCCAATTAATCGACTCGGAGGAATGGAAGCCTTGGTTCGCTTGGACGAGTATTCATCCAGGATTCGATCGCCAGTTCGCGTGTGTACGATATAGCGCCACTTGCCATTACATCATCTCCGCCCAGCAATTTAGACATTGAGCAATAATTGCATCAAATATTCATGAAAAACTTATGGATTAGTTTCCATCTTCCCACTTTTTCCCTCACGCAATCACCGATGTCGATGTAACTCGTCCATACCATCGATCCTCCCTCGCCTTATCGATGCTTCTGTGCCCTCCTTATTCATTCATATGTTCGATTTTTTCGTCAGTCCCTTGATTTCAATAGAGAATGTTTCTTTCCATACGGGAGGTTAGGGCAATCCACATTCCATACTCACGAAGATCAAGAGAGGATTCTGTTGACAACTGTAGACTTCATTCGACAAGTCGCTAGCATTTCAGCCTCAAACCAAGTCGAGCAGGCTGAGCAGGCAATGGCTTGCAAAAAAAACGTGAAGCGCGAGTCTTTAATCAATGCCCTTCTGGAAGGCGCCCTGCATTCTACCTCCATTCAGGATCGTCATACGACTGAATAAGTATTCCTTCTACACCATAACATGAGAGGGTCAGTAGATCTAGTCAATAAGCTTGCGTTGTGAAGAAATGGAACAGTGGCTTTCAGCACTGGATTGTTTCATTTAAGCAGCTCCGAATCTACCGCATTCTCCTTGCGATTGGCTTTCTTAACGAGCAATGGCAACAACAAACTGTGAACCACTTGTTTCGGTCAGTGTTGTTATTTGTAATCAAAACGAACCAACTTATACGTACGGATGTACCGAGTTGTAGTTGTGGTGCGATTTAGCCCTGCACAAGGTAAATAATATAAAATAATAGTATTCATCTGCGCTTACAACGACCCCCCTCCTACCCAGCGATTCAAATCTACCCTGCTCTCCTACCTCCCATCTTTACGCTTTCGAAAATCTCAAGACCATGGCAAAATGGATTTGTAAAGTTAAACAAGGCAGAGCAATAGCTAGAATATCTTCAGTTCCAATTGACAACTCTAAGCAATTGAAGAAAAACTGAATTCCTTTTCCTTGTCAAGGCTTTACGCTCAAAGTAGAAGTTCAATGTTTTCTGATGTGAGGAACTCAGACTCCGAAAGGCTTTCAGATGGGTGAACTATCGAAAAAGCCAATTTTCTGCTGGTGAGCAATATGTGTACGCAAATATCTGAATATCAGGGTCTTTAGGTTTGCGAACAAAATGCTTCTTTTTGAGTTTCATTTCTAATTTACATAGTGGCAATGCAGGAGACCATTACAAAAGTTTGTAACAAACAAACAGGTATTGAGAAGTAAGGTTGCGATGGATACTTGGTATATAGTAGTGTACAGTTTAAGCAGTACTACACATCTTGTATGATATAACCTATGTAAAGAAGTGATAAGAGGTGAAGGAACTGGAGATACCAATCAACCATATCCCATAGGAATGACCATAAAAGGAATATGGGCTCGTGGCGCATCCCAAATGGGTCACTTATTCCTGCTTATCTTATTATTTCAATCGTACCGGTAGTTTCGAATTTGGTGATAGGTAAAAATTCTTCGTAAGGCTAAACTTTTCGCTTTCGCTTTTCGCTTTTTTTTTCCTGCAGCCACCTACTGTCTAAAGCTACAGTATGCCCACTAAAAAATCACAATCATTTCTACTGTAAGTTGATTGGAAGCGCTTGTCCCCCCGTCAGAGAGATGGATCAGCGCGAAACCTTGCCCTTCAAAATTTCACATCAAAAACAAAGGTTTTTTGGGGAGGAGGGTTACTCTTGGTCATTCATTTGGTATCGGCATTCACTATTCTGTCAAGCATTTCATTCGGGTAAATGAGGAAAATAGAAATTCCCCGCCAAGCTCTACCAAACTCAATCCGCTCAAGACCACACTGTCTCCGGGAGCCTTACCCATCCTCGCCGACTATTGATTATTGACTTTCTTTGGAAGATGGACATTGGAAGGCAATTGTCCAGCAGCCATAACCACCAACAAACTGAGTCTTACCCCTTCCATGTTAACTTTTTCCCTTTTTCAGTCCGTTATTTAGATATAAGATAAAAAAAATTCCAACTCAGATTTAATTAAAGTGTAAACTGGCGTCTTTGAATACTTTAGGGAGTCATCTGCAAGCCCGACAATTGAAAAACTCTTAAGTTACCTATTTAGTAGTTTCGGACAGTTTTGCTCCAAAATGAAAATCTCTGCGCTCTGATCTTGTCCCAACTTTTTCCAACATTTATCCAGTTCAGCCATAATTAGTGCCACCCAGTCGCAGCTTTAGTAATACCGAACAACTGCAGGCGAAGAACTTCCTAGTGGAACCGGTCTAAAGCATCAATTCACCCCAAATGACTAATTGGCTACCATCACATCACCGCTACGTCATGTACTGGAGTGATGATGCAAAGCCGTTTCGCCAGAAATAAGTCGATGAACACAACATGAAGTACTGGCAACCAGCCAAATGTCCCCCTCTGTTTTGAAACAATCGAGCAGACACCTTGGAGATCCGATAAAATGTGATTGAAATCGATTGCTGGAAGTGTGCCAAATTGTAATCTTATCCACCGACACTTCTAAGCAAATAGCTCCTTTTCCATTTAATAACCGGAGCAACCAAAGATAAACTTTGTAATTAATGTAACTGTAATTGCAGCGTTCATAGTCGTTGTTAGCTATTTTCTTTAAATTTCGGTCGCATCACAGAACCAAGTTTCAGAGCGATTAAGTAACTCTACCTGACCACTTTTGGAGCACGAATAGCTTTGTATCGCTTCTGGTAATAATAGAAACAACCTAGATCTTTCTTCAAAGCATCAAGTAATTCTATCTGTAATTCTATCTAAAAACTCCTAATTTAGACTAAGGTCCTCGAGAAAATACCTAACCCTTTAAAGCTCTAAGACTGCCGTTATTCGAGCACAAACCCGACGTTAGAACGAAATCAACAGGGGGCAATAGCCGACGCTACAACTACGTTCGGAACCACAATTTTTCTTACTAGCCTAACTCCAACCTAACTTTATTAACATTTATCCAGTTCATTGTAAAATCACAGCTCTTACACAGTTTATAGAGTAACATCACAAATACCGAGACGTAGAAAGAAGTAACACAGTCTCGTTAAACGACTTCATTACAAGATAAATAAACAAGAATAATACATACATGGGCATTACGAAAATGCCCTCCAAATGGGAATTATACAATGAGATTAACGTTCATTCTTTCTCACCAGTTGTCTTTTTGGGGAGCAGAACAGCTTGAATGTTGGGTAGCACACCACCTTGAGCGATTGTGACACCAGACAATAGCTTGTTCAACTCTTCGTCATTACGAACAGCCAACTGTAGATGGCGTGGATTGATTCTTGTCTTCTTATTATCGCGAGCCGCATTACCAGCCAATTCCAGTACTTCAGCAGCCAAATATTCCAGTACAGCCGCTAAATAGACAGGAGCACCGCCACCGATTCGAGCAGCATAGTTGCCCTTGCGTAACATACGATGTAGACGACCGACGGGAAACTGCAGACCAGCACGAGCAGAACGGGATTTGGCTTTTCCGCCAGATTTAGCTTTGCCTCCTTTGCCACGACCAGACATTACGGAATAGAAGAGATTCAACCGGCGAGATAGACGTGTCGAGTGCGAATGTATTATAACATTCGGCAGCTATGAATATGCCCCGCCCTTGCGTGGAGGCGGGGCATAATCACAGATGCCGCCTTCATATCTGCGTAGCGTCGAGTGGGGGCATCCGCTATTCTGCTGGTATGCCGCCCAAACCGTCTGCAAAGGGAGCCAAGAAGGCTGCCAAAAGCCAGAAAGCCAGCCGCAGCAGTGACAAGAAGAAGAAGCATCGCCGAAAGGAGAGTTATTCTGTCTACATCTACCGTGTTCTGAAGCAAGTCCATCCCGATACTGGCGTTTCATCCAAGGCTATGTCTATTATGAATTCATTCGTCAACGATGTATTCGAACGTATTGCTGCTGAAGCTAGCCGTCTCGCCCAGTATAACAAACGATCTACAATCTCATCACGTGAAATTCAAACTGCTGTTCGTCTTATTTTGCCGGGTGAACTGGCAAAACATGCTGTTTCCGAGGGAACGAAAGCTGTTACCAAGTACACATCAAGCAAGTGATCCATGTTAATGGTCTCATGTACTCGTAATTTTCGTGTATGTATTGTTGTTCACTTGTATCTATTCCTTATTGTTTCGTGAAGCATTAGTAAACATGTGTTCATAAAAGTTCTTGTACCTTGATAGACTTCCAAACAGACAGTTGCCAGTACGGTACTTGTGTAGTTTCTTTTGGTCAAAATGAGGGTTCATGCTCATGCAATACTGTCGGCTTCGAGTTGAGGGTTTCCATGGAGACTCATTGGCTTGTTAAATGAAAAGGGATTAAGTGAGCAGTATTGAAATGTATGGAAGGTTTCGAGCCATTCGTGCTGCCAAAATGGTGGGAGCTTATGTTTGCAAGTCCGCCGGGAAGTTCATTAGCATTAGCATTTTTGTTCATTTATGGGAATATTCAAAATTAGATACTCTACACAGTTCGTTTTGCTGCGGTGCTTTATTCTACTCAGCTAATTGGTCCTGTGCCCAGAAATAGTAAGAGTGTGATATCCAAGCGGAGTAAACAATCAGCTAATGGGAGTTTGTTATGATGTAACCTTAAATCCGAGCAAAACCCAAGAAAAAACGTGCTGTTCGAACTTGTGGATCTCATTTCATGGAGATTTTGTTAGAATCCCTCGAAATTGGTGGTTTAACCACTAGTTAGAATAAAAAGTGATTGTGATCCGTAAAAAACGATCCAGGCAAATGTGGACTGGCCAATCGAAAGAGTATGACAATGATGACGTTATGGATACCCCTACATTCAGTGCCCACAATGGGGTTTCATTCAAAGAATTCACCTTTCACGGAGTGGTTCCATCGTCCTCCCTTCATCATCTAAAGTCCCACACATCAAGCAACCAAACGGCCTTCCCGTCGCTAACGCCATGAGTCACCCCAGAAGGCTGCCCCTCTGCAACGGGCGATCGATGAGGCGCAACGCCAATGAAAAAACCGTCCACAGCCTGGCACATACACCCAAATGACCTCAAATTATCCCTTCTTTTATCCTCTCTACACAACTGAAAGTATAGGTTTATTGTGTGAGATGCCGGAGAAAAACATAATATGTTACAAAGTGAACAAATAATAGTACACAAGTTATTAACAGGTACAATGTAAAAATACAACGAGAATTGCACAATTAGCCTCCGAAACCGTAAAGAGTACGTCCCTGACGTTTCAGAGCATAAACAACATCCATGGCAGTGACAGTCTTTCGTTTTGCATGTTCACAATAGGTGACAGCATCACGAATAACATTTTCCAAGAATACTTTCAGTACACCACGTGTCTCTTCGTAGATCAGACCAGAAATACGCTTCACTCCACCACGCCTGGCTAGACGTCGAATTGCTGGCTTCGTAATTCCTTGGATGTTGTCACGAAGTACTTTACGATGGCGTTTAGCACCACCTTTGCCGAGTCCTTTGCCACCTTTACCGCGTCCAGACATCTGAGAGCTAGTAGCGAGCCGAAAGATGGGTGAATCTCGACGCCGAGCTTATATAGGTGGCCGTCAGGTCACCACGCTGGGACTCCATTAATATGTCGCTGCGCGACCGCTACGCGCCACTGCGAATCGATCGATTTGCGACGCAACAAAGCCATCCATGCGTCCTTCATTTGCCAGCTCACGCGGGCGCCGAGGGGTGGACGTTTTTGCGGTGCTCGTGTTTTTTGCATCCGCCCCTCGTATTTTACGAACTTTCTTATAACAACGCTTGTGATGATATCCTCTCGATGTTTGATCCGACAGGTGTATCATTGCAGCAGGTTCCCATTAAGCTGAATCACTTTTAAGCAGTCGTTTTTACAACAACGCAAAGCCTTTGTCTTTCAAACTTGCTTCTCTCTCTTTGTTCCAAGCTTTCGCCTTTGGTTGCATTTTTTTCTTGTTGTCGTTCTTGCACTGTCTCATGCATCAATTTGAGAGTCGTTTTGGTGTCTTTCCTCATGAACCCATTATTGTTTTCTAGGCAATGGTCAAAGATTTGGTGGTCAAGTGCAGAGGCCTTCCATACTCATGTACCGAAGATCAGCTAAGGAAGTTCTTTGGTGGTGAGTAACATTGTTATGGAAGTTCGTCGGTATGCCTCGCTGCTATCGGCGGGATCGATAGGGTTAGGGAACAAGGCAAACAGCGAACGTGGCCCGAGCGGGCCTCGTGCCGTTCTTCATCGATTTCCATTTCCTGCGCGGGCAGGTTTCGGTGCCACGCACAGTGTGATGACCTTTCATTTATCTCGAGCGCGCACCATTACAGCAAGTGTATTGCACTTTCGAAGGCTGTTCAAAGCTCTGCTAAGGGAATGTATCTTTACAAAAGATTGCGAGAGAAACATGAATGAAAACTTGATACGAGCACTGGGCTTCTTTCTCGAGCCATAATCCGTAACCGGATTGTTATGGGAGCCAGTAAACGGGTTGCTATAGGAGCCAGCTATCTGTACTTAATTATTGTTCCCATGAAGGAGGGTAGTGAATGGTCAGGTGTTAGCGTGCAGAGGGCGAATGAGCGAATTTGCATTCTGGTAGGCATTCACAGGTAATGGCGTCTGGGTACTTATACTCAGGGTCTCGCTTTTATTTTGAGTGGAATGCGAACGTTAGGTGTGCTTTTATAATTGGCTCCTATAACACAGTAATTCTTATCAGATACCGGCATCAGCAAGGTCAATCTGATTATGAGGGATGGCAGGGCTGCTGGTGATGCGTTTGTGCACTTTAGCAATGAAGATGATTACAAGCATGCACTGAAGAAAGATCGTGAACACTTGGGACACAGGTTGGTCCCACATACAATTTGAAGAGCCGATAGCTAGTTTCTAATGAAAACTTTTCAGTTCGAATTTTCAAAATTTCCTTTGAAATTTTCAGGTACATCGAAGTGATGCCAGCAGATGAGGAAAGTTCGAGGGCAAGCGCTAGAGAGCGGGATAGGTAGGTATGATCGTCTGTCGCTCTGTCTCCATGCGTGCAAGATTCTAATTTAAGGGGAAGAGATCGCGATCGTGACCGCCGCGATCGTAGCTGGGGCCCTTACAGCCGTGGAATGTCACGAGGTGGTCCAGTGGGATATGGTGGAAATGGCGAAGGTGTTGTTCGTCTCCGTGGGCTTCCATATGGAGCTCGCGAGCGGGACATCTATGATTTCTTCTCGCCTTTGCAGATTGTTCCCGTAAGCAGCAGTTTTCTTAATCATTTGAGGCCATTCTGTCGGATTGCCCTGAGCCGTTGTCGTCGCTGACTTCATATCATTACTTTTAGGATGGTATTCTTCTGCCTGATGAACGCATAGCTTCTAAAACAAATGGAGAGGCCTACGTAGTTTTTGCGGACCAAGAAACTGCTGATCGGGCATTAATGCGTCACATGAAGAACATGCAGCACAGGCATGATTACCTTATGACTTTGTGTTCTAAAACAATTTGCGCTACTAATCATCTAACTCCTCTGTTGCTTCTAACCTCCAAGCTTCACATTTGCGTTTGTTTGACGAAAAATTAAGACTTCTTTCGGAACAAAACTGAATGGAATTCTTTTAATCTGGTGGGCTGATGCGGTTTTGGAAGCGCGGACTGCGGGAACGTAGCTTTGGCTCTTTGGAGGGTAGGCCCTGCAGATTGCTGATTCACTTCATACCAATAGTTGGCGGATATTTTTGGTGCCTGCGTCCTCCGCATCTTTAGTGGTGGGGATATTATTGCCGACTCTCTTTCTATTTAACCCATACTTCTCCTAGTAGATTTTGGATGGTCGAGATGTATTGTAAAAACTTGTCTACTTTTTGTATGGAGGTTAAAGCTGGCTTTCAGATACATCGAGGTGTTTATGGCGTCGTACGGCGAGATGGTGCAATTCTGTGATGACCACCGTCTGCGCGTGCCGCGTGGTAACGGGGGAGGCTTCGGTGGTATGGCTCGTGGCGGCTATGACGACGGCTACGGTGGATTCGGGTACCTCGGTCGATCAGGTGATCGCGGAGCGGCGGTCGGTCCATGGGAAGATAGCCGCAGTGCTCCATTCGGTGGCGCGCCATTACCTGATCCATATTCAGGAAGCTACTCCAGCTCATGGTCAGCTGCACGCCCGGTTTCTCCCCCTCGTGTTGCGTCGTCGTATTCAGATACTTTCGGCAGAGCAAGTCTTGCTGATCCTTACGGTAGAGCTGTACCTGCCTCGGATCCTTACGGACGTCCACCAGCGGATGATCCATACATGCGCGGATCGAGGCGATCAGATGATTTATATGGACGCAGGTCTGATCCGTTTGATACATACCCGCGCTCGGGATCGGAAACGTGGCGTGATGACCGCCCAGCGCCTGCTGCAGTTCCTCCTGCAGGATATAGTGATTCATGGCAGGACTATGGCTATTCGAGCTCTGGGGGAGGACCGATGCGTGTACGCGACCAATGGCGTGAGGATTCCCGCGGACCGGCTGCTGCTGCACCGCGTGGACGCGAACGACCTGGACAGAAATACACACTCAAGATGAGAGGGGTACCTTTCCGCGCCATCGAGGCGGATATTTACGACGTGAGTTGGTGGTTTGGTTAATTAACTTTGGTTAGTTATACAAAGAGATAATGGACGTAGTAGAAGGGTCATTGAAGGTCTAAAAAAAATTACCGATGCCCGAATAGAAGATGGTTAGAGCATGTCTTCATGACATGTGGCAAAGCGTTCCGCCAAAGAAGTTGTTCATATTAATGAGTTACTTTCCACATAGTATGAAGAGTTTAGCATTAGCCCAGAAAAGCTAGTTTGCCCATAAACCTTTCCACATATCGCAATACGGAGAACATACTGTTTTTGCCCTAGGTATTGGGTAGATGGTTTGGAGTGTGTGTGTGATGAATCTAATTGGTCAACGGGGAAGGCATGGAAACAGCTTTGGCCTGGGTGGTTTGGCGAAATTTTCGGCTTTCAAGGTAGCTGTTCGAGTAGATAGGGTTCGAGGTATAAGGCGTTTTAAGTCATTTTAGGAGTTGTTGAATACGATTCTTTTTCAACGGGAAAGGGTTCGGGTTATACCGGAAGCTAGTTCTTTGTTACCAGTCGAGTTGGATTTGTGACAGGTGGTAGTAATTTGAGTGATATTTTAGGTAAATTTTTACAGGGATGGATTGCAGTGCGTATTAGTTTAGAATATCCTTCATTCAATGAATTGAGTACATTTTTAGTTCTTCGAACCAATACGTCCCACAAACGTTGAAATAATTCACGAAGCAAGTGGACGTCCGTCAGGTGAAGCACGTGTGGAATTTTCAAGCAGGAAGGATTATGACGAGGCACTACTGAAAGACAAACAGTACATGGGTATGCTAATTTTTCCTTTTTTTTTCTGTTACTGTGCTTTGAGGTTGTAATTGTTAGCGTAATGGGTTTTCTCAGCGTTTCCATAGCAATTCGCCAGTGTTTGCTCATAAAGAAAAACTAGTATTGTTGATTTAGGACCGCGCTATGTGGAGCTGTTCCCCGATTTTGGAAGATATTGATCAATGAATGTTTGAAGCAGTTGATCGAGTTACTTGACCATTGCCCACTGTCGCTTAAATGGATTTGTGAAGTGGCTGAACTGTTCACTGTTCTCTTTTTGAAGTTGTGTTGTGTTCGTATTGTAACTCTCTCCTCTCGTATTTGTTATTTTTTTAATCTCAAGGCGTTTCAACTTAGTGTCGACATTTGGTCTCACAAAATACCTTTTTTCCTATAACAAGGCATTACATGGAGCATAGCTTGCAATGTTGTTGAGGTAATAAATTGTTAGTATATGTTGCGAACGACATGAACATTTCCAACACCAGTTCACTTCTGAGATATTTTGTATAAAGGTATTAGGCTGGGAATAGGTCGGTATTTTAATAACTGTGTCGCCTAGCATCGTAATTACGGGTTTTAATAGTTTCATACGTTCTGGTTATAGGCTAAAAGCGGGTGGGCTGAGAACGGGGTAGTAACCATGACTTTCTACACGAGCAGTGGTACCGGCCGGAGAGGTGGTTACATGCCCGGACGTGATCCAGTGGTGGATGAAGTGATGCGCGGTTGGCAAGAGAGGTAAGGTTTCTTCTCACTGTAGGCGAAACCGTTTAAAGAGATTTACCGAGAGCATGTCAAGGGGAGACAGTACAAGTTTTCTGAAACCCAATTATTTTATAGCATATCAGCAACTTGCTTGACACTATGAAATTCCGAAGTTGGCGGTATTGTGTAACCCTCGATAGTGTCAAATCAAAGTGCTCCTTTAATGTTGAGTACAATAGGGCTTAAGCGTAATTTGACTTCAGTGTAGTGATCTCGAAGCTGGCTAGGTAGTTTTGCATTGAAACGTGAAGATGGCTTTGGTAAATGAGAAAGGTTTGTCTTTTCGATGGAGTCTATGCACTAGCTTCGACTTCCAGGGATAGATCTAGACAAAAAGGAACATAACTGTTTAGCTCCTTCCGAAAACGAGTTCAACGGATAATTTGCTGGTAATGGTGTAAAATTCGTAGATCCTAAAGAAGTTGAAGCTCTAATGCACCTCATGGTGCCGGAACAGATGATTTTGTGTAGCAAAACATTTATTTGTCCGCTATGAGAAAAGATAATGGCAAGGACTGGCTCTGGAAGTTTTACAGCTAGTGTTTATGTTGGTAAAATGAAGCATCTATACTGCATTTGGAAATTCCTGATCTATTTGATTGCTTATCCGAGTGTCCGAGTTTTTGATTTTTGTTTGAGAGCTAAGAAATTAACGACAATCTCGTTTCAGTTGAGGAGTTTTTTCCAAACTTTTTCTTTTTCAAACCTTATTAGCTGGCGTTGTCCAGAATCAAATGACCCAAATGTGATACTTTTTATATGCTTCTTACGCAATGAGGAATCTAAGTAGGTCGCTCAAACAAAGGTCTTGTTCGATTGGTGTTGAGTACAATAAATTGGAAGTGCAAAATGGATTTGACGTTTGACGGATTTTGTTCATTTGAGGCGTATGACACTAAATCATAGAGGAGAACGAATCCCGGGTGAATTAGCAAATTGTGATGAAAAGCGCTTTCAAGAAGTATTATAGAAAGGGCGCCCCAGAGACACCATTTTTCATTTTCATTTTTTGCCACTCAAACTTACAAGATCATATAAAAACCTAGTAAAACATTAATGCACTTTATCACAGTCTTTTTTATTCTCCGCTAAAATGACGTGGAACCCTATAAATGACCATCTATCGTGATAATGTATTCGTCACATTGTCTCGCCCTTCATTTCGATTTCCCATTTGGTCACGAAATTGCAAATAGATCTTATAATCAAATAATAGCGACATTATAATATAGACCTCAGATAAACTGATTCACATGAACATGTCGTTGAGATGCAAGCTCATTCAACTCACTTTGTGATGGGCTCATAATTCTGTTTTGCTGGTGAATTTGCTAATGGTTTTAGCATGGACCCCGTGAGAATGCGTTAATGCAATCAGTGCTTTTTCAGTCTGAAGCCGAATAATTCCTTTACAAATGGGTTTTAGGTAGCTGCGTGTAGACGTTTGGAGAGCTAAACTTTCAATTGAGCTTACTCCGGAACAAGTGAACTAGCCATTCGCTGTCATGCTGATCATACATTATTTCTTATCCCTTATTTTTTTTCAAGATTGCTATTCATTTCTAACACCTCGGACGTTAGTTAGGTTTGAGCAAAGATTTTCTTTTCAAAGCGATACTGGTAACAGTGTAATAAGATTGATGAGTGCAGACATCACTCTTCAGAACATCGGAAAAAGAATGGAGGCTGTTTTCAGAGGATTTTATGTGGAGTGCAGACAAGATTGCTTCAGGCTTCTTAAATCTTGTCCTATTCAGGTACTGTCAGTTCTCCGATGTTTCTATCTGCATAACAACGTTCAACGTAAATGGTAAGAGTCCACCGGACATCATACCTGGATGGTTCTCTGATGACAGCGTCTGCGATCTTTACGCAATTGGGTAAGTAAACGCCACTGTCGTAGCGGGTACAGTTTTGTAATGATTATATGTCGCTATAGTTTACAAGAAATGGATTTATCAGTTGGAACTTACTTAATTGACAATCCGAAGAAGATGGAGGAATGGATGGAATGCATAAGGTCCTCATTGCCGAAAAGTGGAAAGAATTTCAGAGTGGTGAGTGACTAATAACTTATTATTATTCTATTCTTCCATCTTATGATATTTATAGAACGAGCTTACCATTTTGATCTCCTGTAGCGGCGCTGTACAGCTTTCTGCTTTTCCGTCATGTGTTTTAGAAACAATATGGGCTATTTACTGTTAATTTTGCGGAAAACACCATAATATATCACTTCAGGTCACTAGCATGCGTCTCATTGGAATATTCATTGTGCTGTTCCAATCGAAAACATCTGCTGTGAAAGTGTCCAAGATCAATTCTGCATACATCGCAACCGGTATATCAATGTTCATCAACAAACTTGGCAACAAGGTGAATTTTCAGTGAATAACCAGGCAGGGATTTATTTTTTTATTCTTTACCTCATCAATTGGTTTTTTTTTTGAATTTTGTTGTCAAGGTCACCCCCATAAGGCCACTATTATCAAAAGCTTTCTTTCCTTATAGGGAGGAACAGCCATTTCGTTGAAGTTGAACGACACGTTAGTTTGTTTTGTTAATTGTCATTTGGCAGCTGGAACTGGTGAATTGGAACGGAGGAATCAGGATTTCAGGTTCGACTCTCAGACTCTTCCTTACGGTAATAGTCTAAGTTTCATGAAAATTGTGATTCAGGGATATCTCTCAAATAACATTTGCTGATGGCCTTTCTATATACGACCACGATGCTGTATTTTGGTTTGGTGACCTTAACTATCGATTGAAATCAGAGAACTCTGTGTGGAGCGGTGATCAAGTGGGTTGTCGAAACATTTTCTCTTTTTTCCTTCTTTCTTTAATTTCCGTTTTGTGATTCCTTGTTGCTATATGTACTAAGTTGATGTTGTAGTGATGGGAGAGGTGTGAAGTTTGATTGGAACCTTCTCTCTACTGTTCCTTTATGTTGGGACAGGTAGTAGAAGATGAACAGCGAAATAAGCTCACGAATTTTGACGCGGTGTCTCTGGTCGTCCATTAACCCTTTGATGACAATGGCACCCACCGCTGGGTGCCACTATGACTGGCTCATGGGACATTGCCACCCGATTTGGCGTGCCACCATACTTTCTTGTTTTTTACCAATTGTTAGATTCAGTAAGCCAGTAAAAGAATTTTCTCCTGGGACAGTGCCACCTACCGGTGGTGCCAGTCGCGCGCGAAAGGAGGGGAGCGTGGTCCCATAGGGTGTCACATCGAAATCCGCATTGTCGTCAAAGGGTTAATTGATAGCTGACAATGCTACCAATTCTTGCGAGTTAATCATAGCTAGAGAGATCGTGAAACATCAAACTTATTCGTATATGTTTATGCCTCATTAGCTATCATGCTAAGACGTAGATGTTGCAGGTCAGACACATAGCCTCTTCATCAGAATTCCCGGCTCTCTTCAAGTATGATCAGGTAATGCTCTGGTTACATTGATTTTACATGGATAAGTTTCGACGCATTTCTAGTTACGGGAACAGCAATCAATCGGGCAAGTGTTCGTCGGGTTCCAAGAACCTGAAATCCTGCCATTCCGACCGACTTACAAGTATGACGTTGGAACATGCATTTGGGATTCGAGTGAAAAAGTAAAGTTTTCGAATCATTACTCTTTTTTGTGATACAATACAAATACGTCTCTCTAAAGGCTCGTGTACCAGCATGGTGTGATCGTATCCTCTGGTGGATGCGTGATCCGGAGACTCGTTTGAAGGTTTTACGTTATGAGAGTGTGGAGCAGATCGTAATAAGCGATCACAAGCCAGTTCGGGCTGCTTTCAATCTCCGCATTCGTAAGATAGATCAGGTTATTAAGTTTAATGGAAATAGCCCTGTTATTATTTTGCTTGGTTACTCTTCAGTCATGAGAAAATATGAAATAATTCAGACAAAAGCCGATCAACTGTATGATGAAGCTATACGAGAAGCTGATCGGAAAGCAAACGAGCTATTGCCTCAAGTATCTTTGAGTATGACGGAGGTGAGGCAGCGTTTCGTACATAGTCGATCTTAAAAACGAGAACGTTTTTTGAAACCATGAAACAGCTTATCCCATCCCAAGTTGACGAGATCTTCGAGTCTACTTAGGCATACTGTTTTTGGCTATCGACATGATGGCCGAAGACAAATCATGCAATCATCTGAGCAGTACTCGTTCTTTGAATGGGCTTAGTTGTTAGGATTCGTGGCTTAATTCGTTGATTCTCATATCAGAATTCAATATTTGCTAAAGTCAATACCCATAGAATCTTTCCTTCAGCTATTTAATGAGGCCGTTTGTGTTGATGACTTAGTAGGAATGCAGCATCAAGAACAAGTGCAGATAGCGCATAAGCATTTTTCCAAATGCGGGGATTGTGATCGTTGTATGGTCTGACACTTGTGAACACAAACTAGCTGACATTTATAGAATACACAGAAAGCGGCGAGTTCCTCCTCATATAGCTGGTCGTGAACTTGTTGGACTTATATTGGAAAATTCAGAATGTCTTTTACAAATGAGTTTATTTCTACTCTTCTACTAACTACAGGTCGACTTTGGAGAAGTGCATTTTCTGGAACCATCTACTCATGTGATAACAATAAATAACACTGGAAAGTCTACAGTCCGTTTCAAATTCATTGTCCGACCAGAGCGTGGAATCTGTGCGAAATGGCTCCAAATTACTCCACCACATTACGTGATCCCAGTGGGACAATCCACTCAGGCAAGTTTTATAATATTTGCTTAGGATAGGCATTCCTATTGAACTTTTGTGAGACTGAGACTACCGCCTTACTACTATACCTCTCAAATATTTGTTTTGAATGAACGAATAGTTCTTGAAACCTATATTGCTACAAGACGCAAAACAGTTCCCTTTGCATTCTCCCGTGACAGTATCTCATCACCGTGTGTCTATTGTATATTGCTCTCTTACTCTACATATTCTGGAAATCTGAATCCGAGACGTACTGTGGTTGTAGATCTCCCTTACTGTCGTAATCGATAAGGAGGTGGCTTGGGAGCTCAAGGATACGAAGCTACAAGATATCCTTGTTATGAATTTGGAGCACGGCCGAGATTATTTCATCCCCGTTGTAGCTCAGTACTATCCCAGGTAAGGCTGCTTTACCGCGCCTGGTTGCTTAATTTTTTGATCTTTTTAAATATTCCGCTTAAAATTCTGCTTTTAAGAGTGTTTGGCGTTTCCTTGGAACAACTGTTGATGAGAAAGAAGGAAACGGTTGTTCAGAACTTGATAGATTTTGTGAGTTATCCTAGATCTTCTGTTTTGAAACAAAATCGATAGCCCGATGAAATACTTCGCTGGCCTATTTCGAATGCATTCTTGCAACATACGTGTCACTGTCGAGGATGGTAATTCAACGATCCTAAGATGCCCATATTACCCGCCCACATCTTCGGCCTCATTTTGCTTTTCTCAGGGATGCGCAATATGGGCTGCTCTTTTAGGACGAAAGTTTTCCATGTATGATAAATGAATTTTCATTGACGTTCATGTGATCTCATTTCTTTCTCTGTCATAGTTCCTTGCAATCCAAATGCCTAATAGAAATTCTTGATGAATTCTAACGATAAGAAACCTGTAACGGCGTTTCTTCCCGCATCGATCCTGTTTTGTTCGTCCCAGTTCATGTAAGGAACGTGCATTAATCACCTCTATCGTTTTGTACTTCAAAACACTGCAATTAGTTACATTTAGTGCCTTTCCAGTTGGTATTAAAAGTATCGACGCATAATTTGCTGGACGAACCCTTCACTATTATTTTCTTTCTTTTATTTTGGTTTTCAGTCATTCTCAGTAGATATATCTTATTTACGGGCAGGAAATATATGTTTATAAAAAGTGTTTATGAAGGCCAATAAAAACACCTGTACGCGATATACTTTTCTTTGAAAACGGTATCGATTGCAAACCTGCTGTTTCTGGGATATTTGCCGATACTTCCCGGTTGTTTTTTTTTTGCCATTTCGTTAATCAGAGCGTGCGGTCCAAATACAGTCGCTGTTTCGGGATATTCCGAATGAAATCAGCCAGCTATTTTTCTCTTTAAAATGCAAACACACGGGAATTCTTCGGCTTTTGACTCAGCAAGAAGTGTGACTGTTTAGATACATACATTTTCAGGGTGATGAGTCAGCTGAGGGCGATGAGTTCTGTCCACCCAATATTCCTCGTGAGGCTAGTTTTTTATACACTTATATACTGTAAACATTATATACACATATCGTTGATAACTTGTTGCTCTCTGCTCCCTTATTATCGTAAGAACTCTGGAAAACTCGTTTTCCATGACGTGATGGTAAAGAGGAAGACATAACATTGGTCATATTAGGAATAATGTCGTTGTTCGAGAAACTCATCATTTTGAATTTTCCAGGTCTATCGGTTAGTTTGTGCTCTGCAACTTCTTCGAGAGAAATTAGATTTGAACGATGTGGCAAATAACTCCACTTTTATCATTGTGAGGAACGCTTTGGAGAATGATTTCCCAAAGGATTTAAGTGAGTTTAGGCTTCATTAAAAAAATCCTTAGATGCAATATTTTTGATAATCCCAGTAAAAGGGAGACGGTAGTTTGACACAATCTGAACTGCTCGTGCTATAGAGGAAAAAGCAGAATCTTAGATAAAGAAATGGTTGTGAGTTGGATTGTGCAGCTTCAAATGGTAATTCTGACTAGGGAGCTTAAGGTGCTCCCCTCAAAAAAGACCGAATTTTGAATTCGAAACCTTTTCGCTCAGAAACGGACTAGGCTAAACTCAGAAACGCTTATGGAGTATGGAACAGCTTATGATGGACTACTTTTTTATATTGTTGTGCCTTAAAATGGTTGAACGAAAGGTAGTATTCTTTAGCGCAGCTTCAAGTACCTCCAGTAGCCCTTTACAGTGCATTGATGAGATTGTGCGACACATTAAAAGGTTGGTTTACCTTTTATTAAGACTTTTTATCCTTCCTGTGAATGTCACCTCCTTCATTTCAGCTTGTATTGATAAAGTGGTCGTTGAACTATTGTTACTATTACTTTTCAACATTTCAGAACCTTTGATACCATTCAGTCATCACCGTGAGATACGGGTAGCCAGTAATGATCCAACAGCGTAAGTTTTGTGGCCGGCGCTTTGTTCTCTTTTTGTTTGCGATTTCATTTCTATTTACAAGCATTTTGTTTGTGATTTACGCTGCGGCATAATCCCTTTGTGATAACTGGGCAAGTTTAGTTTATGGAAGATCGTTTCCTCTTTGCCGCCTGTGAATGCAACAGTTCTGGAGTATCTCCTGGATTATCTTCGAGAATTGATTGCACAAGTCCCATCGGCAGCGACTGGTGAGTAGTTTAAAGGAGTCTTCCTATTACTCTCAGATCCTGTTTTCCTATTGAAGGAAGCTCCTTTTACAAACATCAGGCTTTTTTTGGTAATCCAAAGTCCTAGTTTTGAGATGAATGCCGTTCCGCTTATTAGTTGCTAGCTCCTCTTATTTGAAGGAGGGTTTGTTGTGGCAATAATACATAAAAACTTGTTCTGGAGGGCAAGCAGCTTCTGCTGGAAGACTATATCGTTCGAAGCTTGCAAAACTTGCTCGAAACAGGGTGTCTCAAAATATGGCTTTTTAATAAGCTGAGATTGCATGAAATCGACAAACCAACGGAAAGGATTAGGCATCCTCCGCTTGAGTGACAAGATGAGTTCTATCGCGTAGATCGAATCATTTTTCAGCCGCTTCATTAGATCAGCGCAAGTTGTAGGCGGAGCTGAGATGGCGGTGCCGAAAACCCATTCTTCATACTCGAAACAACGTTTTGCACCTATCGAGCTCCTACTGAATTCGAGCTACTATACGTGTTGAAAAGCTGGGTGTTTACCTGGTGTTGTGGTGTTTGGGAGATTTCCAAGGGGTGGTTCACGGAACTAAAAAATGCCGATCTTCTCATTGACGCTTTGCTGGTCTTGGATACGTTTTAAAACTGCTTTTTGGTTAATTGAGTTTAATTTCAGATCAACTTGTGGCGTGGGCCGATGTCTTGTTCCACGGCGGGGCCCTGTTGACCACTGTGCCTCACCTCGAACCACGAGTGGTCGCGCTGCGCAGCTTGTGTGCATATAGAAAAGATGTAGCCATTTTTGGCATTTCATAGCGAAATAATGCTCATGGTGTGTCCGCTTTTATTCTAACTGCTTACTCATGTAACTTGTGAATGGTTGTACTCGAGGACGGTGAGGCGGTTACAGTAATGAAGGTAGCTAAGGTAACCGTTGTTGAACTAGCTGCACTGCAGCCACCACCTGCCTGACTCATGAGTTACGTGAGCTACTAAGCAGCTGAATCCAACCGTGTGTGTGTCTATTTCACTACATATACCGATATTGATTGTTTGCTTTAATCGCTTTATTGATTTTTGTTTTATTGCCTTTCATCTCCCGAATGATTCCCGATTTGATTCCATTTCTCCTCAGCTTGTTGCTATTGCATTTGGGTGTTCAAAAATATGACTAACTACCTGTTTAGCAGCCCTTCTGAATATTTAGCACGCCCCTTTTATTACGTTGACTCATTCAAACATTATTTCTAGTACTCTAGTGGTATTCATGGGCGTTGTTGGAGCAATATGAGTGTGCCTTATCCAGCTGCGATGTGCCGTTCGTCTTTGGTAATCTGTGTAGACTGTAGTGCTTCGTTTATGGGTGTTTAGATTGTAAAAAAGTGGTGGGTCGCGTGTGGGGACAGCTCTTATTCGCCCGAGTGATTCAATGTCTTGGGAGTATTTGATTGCGAACAGATGAAGAAGTGGAACTAAAAAGGCCCAAGTGTGTCCACAGCTCGCGCTACCGACAGAAAAGCAAGGGAAACGATAGGGATCCACCAATTAAGTAAATCGAATAATTCACGGGTAGGACCAACCTATATCATTCTAAAGCTTCATCTGAGAGAATAAAGAAAGGGATGGAGAACACTCAAGCCTGTGTCTGGGAACCGGGTGCAGTGAGTGCTCGTGAATTTTCGTTTAGTGGACGTCGCAAATGGGAAAAAGATAAAAGGCCGTTCTGAATGATTGAATGAGTTTCAAAGGAATCGTTTCAGGGAGCGATCCCCTCCTCCCTCTCGTTCTTCTTTTAACCCAATCGCCGCTTCCGGAGTTAGATAGATTGGGCAGTCATATTCCAAAAGAAAAAGGAGTTTTGCTGTCTTAGCGATTTTCCGTTGCCCTATATGACTCCAGTAGTGTCGAGGTCTATTATTCTTTGCATTAGGCCTTTATCATAATGAAGACAGTGATGAAAACGGATATCCAATATTTTTGATGGTTTTTCGTTGTGGCGTAAACTGTGGACGCAGTCGGGATCTGTTGCGGGTCGCACAATTATTCGTCTGGAGCAGGATTTACTTCGTTTGCTCATTCAGTTAGCTCTATGCAAAGGATACGGAGCTCTTCAGTTCAGCAGTTGCTTCGTCGTATACCATCCCCGATCCTCCACTCGTTCAATTCGAAATCATTTTCTTCTCAGTTCGATATTGATTAAGTCAGGATATGCCATATAAAAATACTTTGTAAATTCAAGTACAATGGTTTTTGACCGCTACAAGATATCCATTTGTACTTCATTGGGATTTTTACGAATTCTCGTGATGAGTTTGTGATAATTTATAATTTGATGTGCATTTCTAATTTATTATTCATCTAGGTGGTGTAATAATGTAAAGTTCTTTCACGTGAATTTATGAATAGTTAGTACGAAATCTCGTTTGAACGAGGAATATTTTCCTGTTGATTTTTCCTTTAAAACTGCCCATAGCTCGGTCGCTCTAGACGCAATAGCTTGCCAGCTACCAGAAAGAGCGGATCGGAGCCGATTTTTTGCAAATTGATGTTGTGTACGAAGAATTTTGTTGATTGCACTTACTAGAAATATCTGCTGCTACTTTCATTGTTAACATAGCTATTGTAATTATTGCTGTCATTGCTATCAATACAGTTTGCCGTATATATATATATAATTTAAGAGCATGGCTTGGTTGTTGAGTGATCTTAAGAAACGAGTCAGTGAAGTGGTGACGACAATCGATGCTTCATTGAAGGAGGATTTCCCGATCAGTGAGAAGGAGGTAAACCTGTTTTTTTTTTCGGATGTTTGCTTGTGCTGTGAACTCTACCCTGATCGAATGCTTGGAAACAATATTGTTGCAATGACGCCTTTGCTTCCTCCTTTAATTATGGTGAACATAGGAAGACAGAGTAGTTTTAAGCTCAGGTGGTGGAGGCACGGATGTTTGCTAGTATTCGATTGAAGACTTTATGGGTTCCCTTTTATTTTTCACTTCAATTCCCAATGTTTTTTGTTAGCTATTATCAGTTCTAGTTAACGTCGTGCCCTGGAAGGATTAGGATGCTCAGACCTTGATCCTCACCCTGGAGAATGGTTCAGTGTGGTTCTCGAGTCGAGTTTTCGGTCATGTATCGCTTAATTTGAGTACCGATGTGATGGGTATCTGTTGTCTCCTTGATCATTGATTTCCCTTGGAGAGCGGCGTTCCTGAAGCAACCATTACACTCCAGTGACTCATTTTCTTCTCCTCAGGGACATCGAGCAGGAACTTATTTCATTCATTAATGAAAGGATGGGATATTCCGTAGGAGCCGAAAGACTGGAGCACGCTGATTCTCAGTTGTTCTTGCTTAACCTCATTTTTTTAAGGAGAGGAAGGATTCTGAAGTAGAAAATCAAGCTGGTGGTGACAAGCGGTCGACCGATGATAAACAGTCGACTGAACCTTTAGACACAGAGCAGCAGCCGAAGCATACTGAGAAAGTCATAATTGATGACTTGCAAGTAAAGGGCAAAGCACTAGCTTGTAAGTTTTTTTGCTATATATCCCTCCTATGGTCTGGGTCGCAGTTTTTGAGACTGAGATACTAATTTTGAGAATATTTCGGTTCACTTATACATTTATCTCCATATTGTATTCAGTATGTTTCCCTATATTTCTTTGAAAAATGATCAACCCTTTTGCTTTCCTTTTCAATCCCACGGTTTCACGTCTTCCATCCTTCACTCTCGTAGTTACCCTTTAAGAGGGCTATAATAATATCACAGAATACGACTGATAGGGGTTGAAGGATTAGAGTGCTAAATGCCGCATTTCAAATTGATTTTTAAGCGAAACTGCTCATCTATGCGAAGGATACGACCGCCAAGGCCACAAAAGGCATTGCAGCTGTGAAGAATGTAGTTGTTGAAAATGTAGGTCCCATGATCTCTTCCTTTTCCTTCTTTGTTTTTGTATGCTGTTCTCCTGCTTACTTTTGCGGTGCTCTGCACTGTTTCACTACTGAAACGTCGTAAATATAAAATGCTTGCAAATACCGAGAGGTTTTGTTTCACCTTATTATTGGCGACGTTACAGACAATTTTCGGAGAGCTTGATCGCGAGCAGGAGGCTTTTGCTGAAAAAGTAGCTGCCAGTCGTCTGCCGGAAGTCCTTGATCCATGGGATGGGCTGCCAGATCGAGAGTTTGCAAAGAAGAAAATCTTGGCGTTGTCTTTGGTAAGCTCAACTGCTCACCTGATGATTGAAATGATGAAATGAATGATTGATCACAAAACAAAGGCAAACATTAAAAACACATTTTGAATGCTACCCTTGCTTTATAATTAGAGGGGTGATTGTTAAAAAGGGTCATAGGTAGCATGGTTGTTTCCCTGAAGCTTGCTGTGAGGATATAGGTGCTCTGTGCTCACATTATAATCTTATCACTTCTGTATTTATTCTGTTTCTTAGGATCCTCACAATTTCATTCGAGAGTCACCTGGAGACTGCGACTTTGACACGGCAACACAACAGGCTATGGCTAAACGGCTAATGACCGTCGATCCAAATTTGAGCCGTATTCGTTTTGAGCTAGTGCCCAAGAAGTGAGCCCTTTGTTTTATCCACCGGAAAGTTTTCTTATTTGTTAATGAGAGCTCTGTTTGCAGATTGAGTGAAGAAAAGTTTTGGCGAAACTATTTTTATCGGGTGTCGCTAATAAGACATTCGATAAGTGCAAATGCATCCGAACCACAGTCGACGGCCAAAAAAGCAGCTCCTGTAGAACCTGATGCTGCGACAAGTGGGGTAAGCGGTTTTTCGTTTTGGCTTCCATTTGAATCTTTCGGATTGAAAATTTTATCCATAATTCAATCGCTGAATGAATCGTCCTTTAAGGACCTTATTCCGTTATGTTTGGTTTTTTAGACACAGCAATGAGGGTTCAAGTTAGTAGTTAAGGTTATTAATTTGCACTGAGAGATTGGAGTGACTGGTTTCAAGTAGGAAGGGTGTGATTGTTTTTCGCTGAAAAGTCTTAATTAGTTGAAATCTTCTCGAGTCGTTTAAATTTAAACTTTGAAGAATTTTTCTTTTGAGGAAGGCGACCAAGAAGTGTCGACAAACGCTGGAGAATGTTCCGTGAAGATTGCCGAAGAAAAGGATGGGTCCATTGGGGAGAACAGTACTCAAGTCGGTGAGTAGTGGCTTCTATCTGTACTTTTTTTGGCAAAAGTTTGTTCTTCCGAAGCGAGCTGTCACATAACTTTCATAGGAAAGAAATTGATTGTTTCGCTTTAAATTCCCTAAGAGATTTCAATGGAAGGCTTCTGCTATAGCTCCGCCCCATTTACGGTAATCTTCACAGTTTCATTGCTTTTTATCCAGCAAGAAAAACCCCGGTTTGCCGCTTATGTATCGCATTCAACAGGCGCTGCTATTTAAACTTGAGGGTTTTTTTTTTCTAGCAGTTACTTCACGATTTTCTAAATTTGATGTCTCAACATGATTTATTTATTTATTCATTACATGTCAGGCACGTGTATTTGCTAAATAGCAATAAAACAAAATTATTTCTTTAAAATTATTTCTGTTCGGCAACCAGTGTTGTATATTTTTCGGATTTGCTTTTCGGACCGCTTTGAAACTGTGTGACAATTTAGATGACGACTGGGAACGTGAAATTCTCTCCGATTTGAACGAGTACGAATTGGTAGCTGAGAGGAACGAGAAATCCGAAGAACAATGGGAAGCCGAGATTCAGGACCTACTTAATTCGACGGAGTAGAACATGTGCGGTCGTTTGCGTTCTTTCAATCTTTCCCGTATGTCTTTTCCATTTTTTTAAACTTTTTGCTTGCTTTTTGTATTCCAGCCATGCTTAATTTTGCTTCTGGAAAATCCCACGTCTTCTTTAGAAGATGTTTGTATACTTGTGTTTATATGTATCTATACTTATTAATACATTTACTGTGATATTAGAGGGTCGTGAGTGTTTGTGCGCGGTGTTTTGCTTTTTGTCAAAATGTTTGATGGTTAATAAAACGTTCCTGAACGGCATTATTTTTGCTGTAGTGAGCAATTTCGTTTATTTCTCGTACTGCTATTTCCACTTGTTTGAATGCAGTTGAGTAATTCTGTCAACAACTTTTTCGACAAACTTTTGGTTGCAAATCTTTTTCTGTACTTTCATGAACATGAACATATCTGTCCGTGCATCGCTTTTACTCACAATCAGTTTACTACCAAGGGTAAATCTTACCTTACCCTAGCCTCAGATCATAATTATTTAATAGCTTTAACTAATTCTATAAATCATTTTATGGAACAACTGGCCCATGTCAGCACAAGCGTCACTGCTGAACGTAAATAATGGCAGAGGATTCCAAGTGTCATTAGCACTTGTTGGGGCGGAAGTGGTGTATTGACAAGTGGCGCGCTATCGCACACGCATAGTCAAGAGTTCGAATCCCGAATCGATATCCGCCTGGGCCAACCAGGACTTCCATCCCCTCAGGGTCGGCTTATTGGTATCAGACTCGTTTGGGATAAGATCCTGACTTGTACTCAGCTGGCCACCACAAATCAGTGCATAGGCTATACATATACACATATTCGGTACACCACTACGATATGAGTGGAAGTCGAATGCGGGGCGCATCCCAGAGAAGGGATTGACCAACGCTCATAGATTTATCTTTTATCCTTTTGCAAAACCTCTTGAGCGATTTTATGTTTTTCTTGCCTTCATGTCTGTTTTCATTATAGAAAATGTTCTCTGGAAGGAGAACTGCTGAGTAATCATGGTACAAATAAGTATACCTTCCTACAACTGGTCACAAATCCATTTTTGAAGCTATTAGAATTTATTTACTATATATTTCTGACGTTTTGAATATTGATACGCTGGAGGCGAGTTGATGAGTTCAGAGCTAGCCGACGTTCTAGCAGTAGGAGACGTCATGGCGGCCGTTCAGAGAGACGTCTGCCGAGTGCTTTTTCGCAGCCGTCTGGTGGCTATCTTGAACCCCAGAGATCAAATGCGTCATAGCTTCTTTTATAGAGGCAGTTGGTATCCTGCTCTTCATCAAAGGTACCAAAAAACCTAATGAGAAATTGATCCATGACTCATTATCTGAATCACTTCACAAGATTTATCACCGCTCCCACCTTCCTTGGATTATCGAGACTTTTTGAAATCATTTACTGATAACAAATATGATAGTAAAAGGAAAAAAGGATCAAGTTTTTGGCGCTAATCAATCCCGTCTGAAGGATGCGCCCCCGCACTCCACCTCCATTCAGAATTCAGAAAATATTATAATAACGGATAATAATTCCGATACTTCAATTACTATTAATTGTATGCAGTTTTGCGGTAATTCCTATTAATATTCCTTTTCCCTATTCGTCATATTTAGAAACCTCCTAGCCTTTCACGTAATCAAGACGTTTCAGCTTTCCAAAGCAGTTATTATGAACCTGACTAGAAAAATTGGTCTCTAGGAGGCGTTCGCGAATTTTGGCCTGTTCTTGATATCGCTAGTAGTAATTAAACGAAATTATCTGAGTTACTGTACTGTAATAATGTGGACGTGATTGAACGATAAATTGAGAAGACCTTGATTCAGTACAGTTGCGCGGTTGTTGAGATTACTGGTTGAACCGTCGGTGAAATTGATCGAGAAAACTAGAAGAACTGCTGCCGGACGTACAGGTAGTAGTGCTGCGTTTTGGTCAAGTAACTCCTGAAGAAGTGCGAAGGTGGTGTGGTGGCGATGGAGGCCGATACTACACGCTAGCCACGGGTTCGAATCCTACCTTATCTGTCTAGGCCATCTAAGTCTTCCATCCCTCCGGGGCCCGTTGATTGGTGCCAGACACGTCTGGGAGGATAAAAGACCTGACATGTACATTGGGTGGCCACCGCAAGTCATTGAAAAGACCACTGACGCATTCAAAACGCCGCTACGATTTTGAATAGAAGTCGAGTGCGGGGCGCATCCCTCAAAGGATCATGATCAACGCCCGCAGACTTCATCCTCTATCCTTTGGTTCACAGCCTTCGTTTACAGGCTACAGACAGCCTTCGTCATCGGTTAGCTTTATGTGTGCTGTGGGGGCTCTTCTTATTTCCTGTTGATCGTTTGGAGGGGGGGGGGGGGGGGGGGNAACAGTAGTTCAGTTGCTATCTAGCTCTCATGAATCAACTTCCACCCACAACATAATTCCCAGTCGGCTTACCCTAAGGGACGCATGACGCACCTTGGGAAAGCCCATTACGTTGCTCACGTTTTAAATCAAATTCTATTTCGGAACATTTCTGACGATCTGGAAAGTCATAGGCAAAGGAATTGTGTCCTGCACTTCAGTGAAAAAGTAGAAGGCCAAACTGCAACGTTACTTCTCTGAACGTTCATTTCCTAACAGATAGAGGGAGGCGGTAAAGAAATTATCAATTTACCCGACAAAGACTGCACTTTAAGACAACGATCACCCAACTAGCTAGCTGACTGGGTGCTAGCTGTTCGATTGGTGTCGGTCGGCAAACAATCACGGCTAGAGGAGCTAAAAACAGAACTGAGACGGACAACATGACCTTTGTCAGTTAACGGCTCGAAGTTTTCGAAAACTTGTTTTGAAGTTATGCACTAACTGTCTGGCAGATATTCAAAAAAGTGTGAATAAGTAGTAAATTCGCTCAAACGTTATTTTTACTCCTATATTGTTCAAAGTCCAGGTCTAAAATTTCATTTGAATTAACAGAATTAGTTATAAAATAAATTATATTAAAGATAAAACATTAGCGCGAGCATTGTGGTGCACTTTACGCGCATTAGATAGGTATCGATCCAAAGACGTGTCCGGTCGCGTGAAAATTATGACGCGTGATCAATCGATACGCTGCGTTCTACATCGCAGTATATCCTCTGAATCCTCGATTCCGTCATTATCCGACTCTGAACAGTACCTTGAAAATGTTTTCATGATGATAATAAAAATAAAAACGAGCGTGTAAAAGATAGCTAACCCACCAACAGCGCGAAAAGCAAATGAAAGGGGGCTCTTGAAACGAGTTTCCATTACTGAAGTTGATTTCTTAGGTTTGTACGGGAGCATCGCGAAAGGGCTTACTCTCTTTAGATGGCTCCGCTCAGTGGAATACATCAAACGAATGTTTATCGTGTACGTTTCGTGTTGGTTATTGTCGCCACACAGGATAATGTAGGTTTCTATATCTGTGGAAGCCACTGCAAGCTTCTGAGCCATGGATGCCGCTGATGGGGCGTGACCTGTGAGAGGGGCGGCACCTTTGGAATGGTGGCGGTCCCCTATTTCTTAACAAACGGCGGAAATAGCTCACAATCAGATCGGAGTATTCAAATGCGCTCCAATTTCTCATGAATGTGTATTTAGTCCGTTTAGTTTGCCATAAAAATAAGCTGACGATTCGGCAACTCTTTCAAAGAGGAACGCACCCGAATCCGACCGAATCCGATCCATTTGCTTTGAGAACATCTAGGCGACTAAGGTGATATGATTAGGCGTCTTATCGAATAGTCAATGGCACGATCGGCATCTGCCCATACGAAGAAGATGTGCTCAAACTCACTGGCCTGACAGGCTTCAATGGGAGATCTGTTGGTGTTTTCTTGAGGAAATCCAATAGCAGTGAGACGACAGGTGACATAGGTGGTATGAAAATTCCAGAATCAGGTAGTGTGGAAGATGTCAGAACTTTAACGGGGCAACGGGCAAGGGGCGGGATCAGAGGGAAGAGCGCGAGGATGTAAAAAGGGACACGGACTAGGCTTTCTTTTTTTTTNTTTTTTTTTCGTAGCCTTGTTTACGGAATTTATAAAGGATGTGTATGAAAACGGCTGACTGATTTATTTATTTACTTACTATTTATATACCTACTAGTTAATTATTTATCTATTTATTGATCTATTTATCATGTTCTTTAGATCACTATGTCGAACTACGGACTTTTAGTAACGGTGCGATTCCAATTGAGATCTGAACATAAGGGCTTCCCCGAGCCCAAGTGTGAGGTTGGTTACTTGATTACACCTTCTCCAGGTCGTTCTTAAGTGCAAAAAGTAATATAGCGCTAAGCCACTCTCTGGTCCACTAAGGGTGGGACAGGATTTACCCAAGCTCACCCATTACCCAGTCTGAACCTGCTGTCGGTCTATTGGCCGATTCTTTTAGTAAAGTTACCCAGAGCAGTTTTAGGTATTATTCTTACCCCTCATCTTCGCTTCGAGCGTTTCAGTACTATGTATAAGCCCTGATCTTCAATTGAAAGCGGAGGTGGCGCAGTTCCTGAAAGCCGAGCGTCGCATTCCTCAGGCCAGACCGGATTCCTTGAAGCCGCTCATTACATCGAATCAGTTCAGTAAACAAAACCTTCACCTGAACACCGACTTGCTTCCATAGAGTCTGTATGAGCGAAGTGAGCGTTGTGCTTCAACGATTCCTAGTCTAAGCCGTATACATGGCGCACTCTCACCAAGTCCCACCGTCCCTCTGAAAAATGCCCCCTCCTTCACATTGCAGTCCTGGTTATTGAGCCTTCGTTAAAACACGAGCAGCAAAGACCTCTGAGCAAGATCGATGATGTATAGACAGGACATTGATTGATTTATTGATCCCTAGCTATCTGTAGATTACTGTAGTGTCCCTTTAACATAGATGTTTCCGCATGAGCATTGGTGGCAATTTGGGTGCCCCGTGATGACTGGCTGATAACTGGGTGTCGTCGTGCAGTGCTGTGCTAGTCGTCAACAAGTCGATAAATAAAAATGTTTCTCCAGTGACACGGTAGAAATCGTTGACCGTAATCATACCAGCACGTAATGGGCGATCCATATTCGACACCACCCAAAAAAGCACGTCGCGCTCTGAACCTTGTCGAATAATCGTCAATTGATCGCTTTTTGTTGCAACATGGAAATGCACTTGGTGTCCATTCGACAGCTTCACACTCTCACCCTACAGTATCGGCTGATTCCCAGGAGCAGGGAAACGATACAGGACCAGGAGGTGCTCTGGCCCACTGCAAAGCCCTGGTACATCGTTCCGTACAGGAATCGTCTGCTTGTTGTTGTTGTTGTGCGCTTGCACGTCGTCGTCGTCACGCCAGCAGCCGCCGGCCGAGTCCACGATGTACTCCCTGGCCACGCCTCCGGGAGGCGGCTCGCTCCGCCCACACCGCCGACGGTTGTTGTCGTGCGCTCGCGGCGCTCCGATTTTCATCATCACCGTGCTGCTGCCGACTACTGCTTCTGCTGTCGTCGTCCATGTATAGAAGACACTGACGACGTCATGATCGACTGCGGTTCGGTGTTTCGCGATCGAAAAAAGTCGTGTGGTAAGTTCGCTACGTCTGATTCACTGTTCCCGCTTCTATACGAACAGGAACCAAACTACCTCGATTTTTCTTCATCGAATATGTTTTTCTGTCTAAGAGATGGCTTCAGTTGGCAGAAATGCCAAAGCCCAAAAAAGGCCACCATGGCTGATTGCGTTGATCCGAGGGTTATTCCTCCCAGATTCCTTGTCATTTTATCATTTTCCGACTGTCTCCTTTCGTATTGCTGATGACCCGCTATTTGAATATCTAAATCGCATGCTCATTCTGGCGTCTGAAGTGTTGGTCCCGCATGGAATGGGCCCTAGCCGTGGTTGCGCGTTGGCGTTCATGTTTTGGTAGATGATTTTGGCGCAGTTGCGCCCACGAGCATTCTCCCTCTTGTCGTTTCACTGTCTCATATGACCTTCACACCTGTGGGTCGAAAATTTCAAAGGTGAGTGCTGCTCCAGATTTTATGAAAAATGGGTGTTCCGTACGGGACGCTACGGCTAGACGCATATGCACTCACGTCCGTAGAGCATTTTTATCAATGGGTAAGCATCAAGCTCAGGGGCGTCCCATCAGTCGATATGCTTGCCAATTCCACTTGTTTCTGGCCCTATTACCTTTCCAAGCTTTCCTATTTTCTTCTGATTTCACCGATCCCCTTACTAGGCAACTGTAAGTTTCGTGTAGGACTGGTAACGAACGCTGGCGGTTCGGGTCAGTTAGTGGATCCAGCTGGACGGTCAGAGGGGCACCTGCCAGATGTCTCAAGGAGAAGTCAAGAGAAGTTTAGGGAGTGGTGAAGCAGAGTGGGTACCTTTTGTGGCGTCGTCCGCTAGAAAGTTCTCGAGCATTCACTTTCAGAGCGATTCCGAAGCCCAAAGGTATTTTTGATAACCGGTTGCTATTTACAAGATATGTTTACCGTGTTGATATGGTAGTACCGAAATATCGGCCTCCGTGTCAATCTGAAGCCAGCAGCTCGAACCCACGTGAGGGACGGCGCCGTGGTGCTGTGGTAGTGCTTGCATTAGCCCTATCGATTTATCGTCAAATAGTTTTGTTTTGAATGTTTTCCAACAGCTCCTTTACCGTATTGCTATTTTGAAGCCGATTTATTGAACATTATTAAAGTTATGGGTAATTTCGCCCACGAAGTCATTTCTGTTCGGAAATTTTTGAAAAATTCACATGGCTCCATCGATTTTTCCGCCGTCCCACGATCGGTCCGTTGCCGCCGGTACCTGATTGGTCGAATCTTTATTCGTTTGCAGTTTATTCAGGGCTGTGACTATTTTCATCTCATTTTTTCGCTTGAGGGCGGTTTTAGAAATTTATCCAGTGCGCTCATCTTTCGGGAGACTTTTTTCCTGACTCTTCGGGCTGCTTGTTCTGCGAGGTACGGGTTTTCAATCGATAATCGTGCACTTTTTGTTCTTTGGTCCTTCCCGTTCACTTCTTTTAATTGTACAGACTACTGGAATCTCACTGGCAGTACCCGATGCCCGCGGTCTCTATCCAAGGCAGGTGAATACCGTCACATGGTCCATTGATTGCCCGGGCGCTATTCTGACTCACTAATGGACGACATTTTGCTGGGAATTCCTGATCTGGACTCTTTGTTTTATCCTTTTTGCTATTGTAAGAGAGACGGATAAGCCATTCATAAAAGCCATTCGCCTCGGGTATCGCAATGCCTGAAGTTTCGCTTAGGAATGGGAAGGTATTTCGATGTTTGGATACCTGAACAGTGATGGATGCTGTCGGTCCAGTAATCAGACAGTTCAAGGAATCAACCGTGGGGAAGGTCTGCACCCAACAGGTACTTTCGCGAACTTTGCACTGCGTCTTCACCTAATTTTCCGCTAACGTTTGTACCTTCTTACCGGAACGCCTATTTGGAATCAGCGTGGCTTGGGGCATTGAGATCCCCATATTCGCAGAGTCCTGTTTATTTTCCCTTCTTATCATAAGAACATTTTCGGCTCACATTCGCAGAACCCCACTTTCTCAGTAGTCTTTTATGCATGCCTCATTATTTGCTAACGTTTTTTTGGGTGAAGTTGAGTCACCCGATGGTATTTCGATGTCAGTGCGCTCTAACAAATCGCATGGGAGGTAGTCCAATCCGTCCGATTGTGCAAATGTTATGCAACGCCCACAGTCGTTGTTCCAATTCCATCAACCATGTTGGTTCCTAATATGTTTGTTACCATATCGGGTTCGTTATGCCCCAATATAAGGCTTATTGTGCCACCAACCTCCCCACTCTCACGCTTCTCCTGGTCCTTCAGCTCCCGTTGACCAGCTTCTCTATGTGTTTCGCTCTCTTCTTTTTCTATGTGGACTGAGTTAGGTGGAGTCGGTCGCAGCCACCCTACAAGTAAAGCTGTCATTAAAGTAAAGCGCCTCCCTATGACTATATGTTGGTTGTGATGCTTCATTAGCTGTGAGTCGGAATGTCCCGTGGGCATCGTAAACCACAACGTCTACAGTCTCACAGGCGTTAAAGAAGTCGTTCATTTTGGATCCTGATTACGGTAAGCCGCTGTAGCTGTCTGAAATCTCATTAAGTTTCTCATGAATCGCTATGGGATCATCACCGGATTCGCATGTTCTCCATCAGCACTGGATAATGTAGTCCTGTTACAGACACGGCTATGGTAGGTCTTGAATGGGTGCATTTTACGGCGCAGACCGACGACGAGACATCCCGAGCAATGCGACCAAATCAATAGACTTCATCTCGACTGCATGAAAAACTGTACGGAAAAGCTCAGCGAGGCCAGTCAGGCCAGCTGTTGGTCTCTTGGTCTGCCATGCATTTCCTTCCCATCAACCATCAATTTTCTAGCGCTGGTATGTTCGTTCTTCTGGAAAGGTCTATTGGAAAGACGTCTTGCCCTTAAGCGATAAGTATATTCTTTGACGTCACTGGTGCCAATTACCTACCGTACCCGATCGATTTCATGATGAGATCTCTTGAGAATTCTTCTTTGCAGGCGAATTCAATCTGATTGCTCGAACGATGCAAATTTCCACTAGCCAACGTAAGAGTCTTTGGTTGTTGGATGAGAAAGTAATTTCAGGAGCAGCTCTCGAATGATGCTTGTTAAGAGCTTGTGTGAGTAGAGAGGACAGAATAAATGCTGTATTACTCGTCCTCCTTTTTTATGAGGCGGTTATCAGTACCCCTTACGTCCTTAGTCTGCGTTGTCGTTGCCGCTTCGCTTCACTCACGCGTGCGGCGATCGATACCGTAAGTGTACAGTGTTCAAGGTGGAACATGGTTAATGCACAGCTCGTCTGGCTGGTTTCTTTACTTCATGTACCAACTACAACAATTCATTCCTAATCATTGTAGCCTTTTTCTTTAGTGCGGAAGATTGAGCTGCTGCGCTAATGCTCGCGACTCACGCTACCGATTGCATTTTAAGGGCAATTTCTATGAGCCTAGGTTTGGGTAGGAACTTGGGATACTCTCATGCAACCTTCGGTGATTGGAAAAAGGAGCAAAACTAGTTCCAAAAATCCTTCACACGACAGTCTGATTGTCGTTTTTTGGCTGACTGAAGTTTTCACCACGATTTTACTTCCTCCTTATTGAGTACTGTAATCGAGAAACTGGTTCTTTTCAAGTGAAGTTGGCTGTCACTGGAAACAAGTGCTCTTTTTTTTTTTTGGTGCTCCAATAATGGCAGATCTGTCGATCAGGGATCATCTTGATATTCCACTGAAGAAAGGCATGCAGTCGATAAAAGCCTTCGAAACTAAACTGACCTTATATCTTTCAGAGGCTACTGGTTTTCAGTTCAAAAGTCTGGCCATTTGGGAAGTCTGGTTGTAATAAGCGGTTAGTTGAACGGTCCTAAGAAGGGGGGGGGGGGGGGGGGGAGTATTCGGGTCGGGCTCTCTTTAAAGGATATGAACAGGAGGGTTTGGCCACAGCAGATCCCTTGCCCACCACCACATAAACGTGAAATTGATACTTTGTCCCACAAGCAGTCTTTAAAATAGCCTTCCGAGCATGGTACGTTTCTTGACACAGGCATATTTTTCATATTTTTATACCGTATTGGGCCTGAATTAATTCAGCTCCTAATTCTCTTCATTCCCGTGTAGCGGAACAGGACTGTTTTTACACCTTCAAATCAATTCATGCATTTATGATGCTTACAGCTATTCAGAGAAATTCGAAGATCGTAATGCCTAGGCACTAACATTATTAAATCCATCATTCACCTAATGTAACTGTTGTAGCTCTGAAAGTTGCCTATTTCCGATGTTAACAAATCTTCAATTTTCACAACGGCTTGAAAAAGTACTGGAATTTCCTGCAATTAGGTTATTTTCATAGAAGTATTACTTTCGCAGTCATACTTTCTTTCGTCGGTACTAGAAGGGAAGGTTGCCCAGATTCACCTGACATCTTTTTTGAGTATCTCCCTAGACGACTTTTGTACACTTACTGTAAGGAAATGGGCTACTACTACTTCTCATACACTTATGTCCTCCTCGATTTGTTGTTCTCCCGTAGTCACTCTTCCCGTATAGCATAATAGAGCTCTACTCTGACGCTCTACCGACGTCTCTGAAGACATGTGGATATGCATATTTTTGTTCAGAACTGGTTTCGGCAGTCTGTCAATTATCTCCTTTATTGCTCTTGTAGTATGATCGTGTTTTCGTGAGGATCTCCCAGTGTAATTGGTCTTCTGTGTACTTGCGTTCTTATGCAGTAGTTGAGTGTAGGTTAAATAGCCATCCTTATGGGCTTGTTTTCGGTTAGCCCGAATGGAGATAGGGCGGGACACTTGTGTTCGCTCTCGTAGCAACTGGAAAAACACGCCACAGATCTCTGACTCGCCTCCGGCCGCCATAGCTTACTAGTTATTTATTGGCTAGTGCTGATAAACGTCTTGTTTGAAGTCAGATATAGAAGATTGGTGACTTCTCAAGGGACCGGGAAAGCATGTTTTCCACTGATTTCAACGAAAACAACGTGATTTAAGAGGTCATTCTACTTCCTAGCACTGTCTGTTTAGCTATGAGGGAAGATAGATAGCGTGTATTGGAACACGAAACCCGTCGGGCACAATAAGCTCCCACTTTCTTCTAGACAGCTAAACGTTGGAATAGGAGTATGGGCAGCTTTGGATGTTCGCGATTACGTTGGGAAAACACTTGAGGGTCAGGGAGGAAGAATTTCCAAGTTTCTGTTTCTCTGTGAATGTCAGGTGACTAGGGGGAAATAAATAAATGGTTGAGTAATAAACAGGGCTGGCTCAGCCTCTGGTTTGGAATCTGAGCTCCTTTGTCATTTCAACAGGAGGTCCTGCCTATTCTACTCAGTATGAACCAAAGGTTCTATTTCTATGGCTATTGCGTGGTTGTGGAGTAGTGACAGTTCTGAGCTAGTTGGCTACCCTTCCAGCATCGGGTAACGTTCACGGTTGAAGTCTTTAAACTTACCTATCGAATAACTGTAAAGTTACTGTGTCTAGCGCCTTAGTGGGCTCATGGCATGAAACGTGGGCAAAATACACCTCCGAACAACTCACAGGAGTTTGACTGTTTCCTACGATACTTGTTCACGTGGTGCTTCACCATTGTGCCCAATTCTTTGCCACTTTCTGAAGAACTCCGCTGGGAGCTTCTTCCTGAGGAACCATACCCTTTACAGTACCGCATTGAGTGAATCGATCAAGATCTGAAGCATCTCCGAGATGTGCCACGCATTCGGTTTCCATTTAGGGTAGCACAATGCTTGCGCAATGAATGGTGGCCGGCCGAAGTATCAGCCAGTGTTTTTACCTCCCATACAAGCCCGGCTTGATTAGGAATTAATGGAATGTTTTTTGAGTTTAAATGGGTCAGGTCCAGATTGTTATGATCAGGCTTTTCCTAGGGAGACGCCTTCACCTTCAAGGTCCTCCCCTCGCTTAGGGCTAGCTTTCCGGCTGAGAACCTATTCAGCTTGCACAAGAGACATCGAAGACAGCCTTGTGCTAAGGACGCTCAACCCTTAACCGTGAAACGATAATCCAGATTTTTCTGGCTTTTCTTCTTCGAAATATCGAGGTCTATGGGGACTCACTATTTGTAGTTATAGTGCCCTCGATGTATAGCTGTCACCTTCTCCCCCTCATTTCCGCACCTTCCGGTTCCCTGTTAGACTTCCATTCTGCTCAGTACATCGGTGGTTGCCGATCAACATGTTTTCAGTAGCTGCTCAAAGAAGTGGACGTTGTTATTTCGATCTTCGCGGCGTTCCTTCAACGAGGTTGCAGAGGAAGGGAATGGAACAACAGGGAAATGAGGAGGAGTGACGGTGACGGCGGCGGCGGGTCTCTCTCTCCCTGCAAATCGGCTTGTTATTCGGTCCACACCACAACACTACCCTCCCTCCTCCACCCCTCGTTCCGCACTCAAAACAACAAAAAACGGGGATCTGAAAAAGGCCGAGTGGATCGGAAACCCTGGGGAAGTGTGTCGTTGTTGTCGCTGCTGACGGGGTCCTCAAGGAATTTTCTAGAATCCATGGTGGTTTCCAAAAATAGTCGAAGTCGTCCAACAACAACATAACATAGACAAAAGAAATCTGAGAGCCAGGAATACGAGAGATTGCAGAGCTTGTAAGGCATTCTGTTGCAGTGTAAACAGTCGGTAAATGTCTCCCTAAATGACAACAACTCGTCCAATTTTGTTTTCTGTTCAGATTCGGACGAGTTTCGCCGACGTTCAGGATCATCGCGTAGCGACGGCAAACGATGGGGACGTAAGGATACCGGAGGTGGAGAGTTAAGATGTTGCATACAACCGGATATACTGCGCAGTAACGTCGACAAACATTGGTTTTTCGAAGATGAGCAGGTGAGCATTGAAAACTGGTCCGATTTATGTTCACAATTTTTTCAATGTTTTTCTCCATAAACCAGTCGATGGCAGCAATAAATGCTCGCCGAACCTCAGCTTGTTTTTATCTCTCCATTCAGCCTAGGGAAGTAGAAAAGAATATCTTTCTCTCGATTCAGCCTAGGCAAGCAGAAAAGAATATCTTTTTAGGGGAAGGGTTTCTGGTAGACGTAGGTTTAGACGAGTGGTCCAAACAATCCCATTTATCTACATCAACACCTTCTTGATTACCTATTTTGCTCCCAAATTACGCCTTTTGGCAAGCTGCTAGCTGTTTGTCACCATGGCCAGTCGCCATTGTGTGAAAACAGCACCAAATTTCTAAGATCAGCTTCCTAGAAGCCGTGAATATCCACTTATGAACCCTTTATCTTTCGTGATTACATCTGTTTCATAGCTCGATTCACAATTTGGGGTGTTTTCCTTCTCGAAGGAATTATATTCAAGGTCATATGGTACCCATTTTTTTGAATAGAAAAAGTTTGTTTACTGTAACTCCTCCAAGGCTGTCCAAAGATCTAATTTTTTGATGTTTTCGAATTCGTTTTTTGTCAACGTGGTTGGTTCGTTACTGATTTTCCGTCATAGGTTCGAATAAACGGTTCGGTGTTCGCTCGGCGTGAAAACTTCGACAATCTGCTCTCAATCATTCCCATGTCGAAATTCAATGGCATCCATATCAAGGTAAGTGTGTGAAACAAGTATGATTTCGTGTTACCAGTTAGAATTCCCTCAACGATCGATTTCCGTCTCTGACGCTTGTGTGAACGTGATGCTTTTGCCGCTCCTTCTCCACCCTCCCTATCCCCCGCTCCCCGTCTGCTCGGCGCTTGCACTTTTTGTTTATTATTCAGGCCTTCTTCTAAGGGCATATCAGTCATGCGCGCAGCCGGCAAGACCTTTGGTGTCGATGCTTCTTGATGTGTTACCGCCGCTGTAGTCGTCGTTGCTGCGACACGATAGAATTGTTTTGCAATATCCCCAGCAGACCCTCGCCCGAACGCCCGAACACCATCCACAGGTTTAATGAGGTTACTGTGTCGCCTCCATCGAAAACGAGTACGTGAACACGATTGCGTAGCAGTTTTGAGGTGAATTGCATGCAAACTCGTACTCAGGAACAGTCGAAGGGATATTCATTATGGGATGAGAAAAACGCTCCGGATCTTACAAAGTTTTGGGGCGACAATTTATACGGCTTCGCTGAACTACCACTTTTCAGTACCTTGAATCGATTATCTTCAAAAACTTACTTCAAATTGTTCACTGAAGTGGAAATGAGTCAGTTACCTACTTTGAAGCGGTCTTATTGGATTAGTTTCCAAACTTGATGGCATAGGCTCACGGAGTATTGGAGGAGAACAGAGAGAAAGGAAAACGAAAACAGGCCATTCACATAATGTCGTTGTTTTCGTCTGTTACCCACCATATCTTTTTTTCCAATATGTATTCATCGATTTGGGCTTTATGCTCCCATAGGGAATCGGTTCAGGACCGTGCTTCTGGTGTGAAGCAAAACACCGATCCCCCCATAGATAGAGGCTATCACTCCAATAGTCGAGGAATCAATCGAAGAGATTTTATCTCTGGTAATAGCACTACGTGCTTAGAATTACGTAAGGTTATGGAGAAGCGTGTATGATGAAAAGTTGACTGACGTTGAAGTGATGTGCCGCTTCCGGGAGAATTCGGTTTAACTTCTGAAGCAATTTTATTATCGCCAGTTGTGGTGAACACTGGGTATTTATGGCTGTAATGTAGTTTTCCGAATGCGAGCGGAATTGCCTTCCCGGATGTTTACTCGTTGGTTTGATGCGGCTCCCATGTCCATTTATTTCTACCTTCCTGAACCACTGGTCTTTCTTTAATGTTATATTTTGAAATTGTGGCAAAAATCGGGCGCTGATTCGTCGAGGGCACTAAAAGACAAAGTTTGGATCCCAAGAGAATTGTTCCGAAGTTCGGTTACTTTATAATGGAAGCGTGTAGCTCTACTTTGTACTTTCATAGGGACTATTTTTGGCTAGCAGCGGTTACTCTTACAAGTGGGGGGAAGGGGGGGGGGCACCTTTCTTGGAAGGATCCTATACAGCATTTTTATTACGTTGATGGCTGGATACAGGGAACGATCGTGCCGAGTATTGTCGTAATTCCCCTGCATAGTAATGGTGTTTTTCGGTCTGCTACTGAGAAAATTATGGTTGTTTTGATAGCATTCAGCAAGAGTTGCTATGGCGATTATACCTTGCAATCTAAAAATAGACTTGAATAAATTAACCGTTCCATCTGGTGGCTTTCTAGAAGGACTAACGCTCAAAAAAAGTTTGATGGTATGTTGAAAAGCTAGAAATTGGTTATTTCTACTCGCGACAGGAATGTTGGAGTACTGGCTGAAAGTGGCAGCATTGTGATTCGGCAACTATTAGATCGAATCCTGCTTGAACTGTTGAACCTCTGATTTTCTTGTCCGCGTCGGTCTGAAGCATCTTCGGGAGTTCAGAACGCTGGCTCTCTCAGGTGATATCATAAATCATCATGTCGACCCTTTAATGACCTGTTCAAATACTTCGATTTTGGCTCAGTGACGAATATGTGGGTTTTTCAGTTCACCTGTTGGCTAACTTTGTACTCTTTGTTGTCGAAAGTAGTAAATGTTGATCCTTTTCCGTTGTTGTGGACGTAGCGCATGTTTATAGTACGTTGTAAGTCGAGACGAGGCTGATTGCGTGCGATTGACACAGGGACCAAGCATTAGTAATATTCCTTTGAATGGGGGACCAAAACGAAAACTTCATCGGGTTTTGCTCAAATTTTGAATTTTTCGAGTTTTTCAGATGGAAGACGACTGTCCACAAGGTGGTGACGATGTTCGCCTGTGTCTGTTGAAAACATTAGGAGCGCATAATCAACGTGTGGTACCGTGTGTTGGATGCCATCGTGATATGATTGTGAGTTTTTACTTTATTAGAATTTCTTTCGCATACCGCCTTCTCAACACTTTTTTGTTTTATTTCATATCGTTCTCAGGTATAACTTACAGAAAGAAGTATTTTTTTTTTACAATTCGCTTCAAACCGCTTTAGGATCCCGTTGGAATTTCATTTTTGCATTTGATTTCATAATTCATATTTATGTTTATATTAACTCGATCCCCATTGATTTTAATTGTGTTTATTTTCCATTTGGCAGTTTTAATTTATAAATCCTCCTTAATGTGTCGGTTTATTGGAGCAATCGATATTTCACAGCAGGACTTCTTTTCCTTTTTCCCTTTTTTTGTTTTGATGGATTCTATTTATTCGCCAACCATGAAAAGATTCTTTTGCAGGTTTACGATCGATATCCGCTTGTTGACGGGGTCTTCTTTTTGTCACCTGTTTGTCATTTCGGACCGCCTACAGAGGTCTGTTGTTATTATCGCTCATTCGCAGATAACTTCTATATTTACCTTGTAAACACGGCCTAATCGAATTTACAGTGTTGATTAATTTAGCTGCAGGCGTAGGAAATGTTTCCCACATCAGTTATTTCGGCACAGTTTCTGCCATCTAATCAGATGCCTCACAAATCTTTTCGCATCTCTTGCTCAATAGCGGCTTGGTCTTAAATGGACCCAGGGCTTAACAAAAGAGACGGGGAAACTTTTCAATGGTCATTATAGGGAGAGGTCCATTAAGAGGTTATTCATCAATTGGAACCATTGTATTTAAGTTGCCTATTCAGTGTTGACGTCGTGTGGGCTATTTTAACTACAGAGCTTTGTTAAGTGCTATTAGATAACACCATGACCCACCTAGGTATTGCCTGATTTCCCTGGTTTACGTAACAGAGTATGGCTACCTGACTTGTTTTATTTCTTTATACATGAGGTCCATTGGATGAAATGAATGATATTCCGGCCGTTTTTCCTGATTAAAACATCCCACGGTGATGTTCGGTCTTTTAGGTGATGTATGATGGAAAGAAGAATTATTTGCAACAATTGTGTGCGAGTTGTTTGTGGGCTGATTGGCGCTGTAACAATTGTGGACGAGGTACGGTAGAAGTTTTATGGTCTAGGGTCTTATCGAATGTCGGTAATCTTCAAGTAAACATGCAAACATGCTCATAATTGAGCGCATTTACTAGTGTAAACTTAGAAATTTCAAATGTTGGAGCTCATTTTTTTGTAGTGCAATATTGCATAATGTTTCTCTTCGAAGCACATTTTCGGCATATTGAACAGTTTTACTGTAAAAGTGAGAAAGATAGTAAGAGTAACGCAATTGAAATAAAAAGAGTTATGGAAATACGAAATTCTTCAGGTTGTATGGGTATAGTAGCGTTAGGCAGAAAGCTCAGGAAGTTTGGTGAGAAAAGGAAGCAATTAAGCGAATTGTGACAAGTTCAATCGATGATGAGTTTCTAGAATTGGGTCGATTAATGAAGAGTTTTATGTTCAAAAGTCGTTCTTGTAGTGGTTTGGTAACTGGTCTGAAATATTGTTTTTACCTCGGCAGTTGTTTGCCGGATCCGTCTCAATATTGTCGGCCTAATCTTAGCTCCGCATCCAATTATTAGTAAATATCTGATGTAATTTTTCTTTACTTTTTTATTTGTTATTATGTTCATCATTATTCCCACATTACCTGCCCCATGGTTGACACGATAGGATTTCTGTTGGTTTTAACAGATTTCTTTTTTACCTCATGTGTTGTTTATCACCTACTGAGTATTTTTGGTTTTCATTTAGGTGGTTGGTTCAACGGCAAGTCGATCGTGCTTGGAACGCTCTACTATTACGATATTGGTGAGAGCCGTAATTAGATTTTTGTCAATCTTTTCAATTTTGTTGCCAACAAAAGTACGTTCTGTTGAATGGCCCTAAATGAATTCTAAACATTTGATGAAGCTTTCCATGAATCAAAAAACTCACCCTGAAAACAAGCTTCTTCTGATGATATCGAATTTTCCAATTAGCCATCGAAATGAAAATGTAAATCGAATTGGTTACTAACTATTTCTGGAACTCGATAAGATACTTGCAGCCGCAATTGAACTCAAAAGCTGATATTTATTGACAAGTGATTTTGGATCATCATTCGTTCTACAGTTTTCCTCGACTTAAACGGAGGGAATAAATTGTGAGCGGAGTTGCGCTGAACTTCGAGTCCTTATCTAAAACGGATTTGGTTTTGATATAATTGCAAGTATTGCACCATTTGGTCCACCGGCTAGATGCAATCCCAATATGCGTCACTGAGCAGTTGTTTTCTGTAACTTTCGTAGATTTTTCATTCCTCATTGATCTGCTCCCACAAAATCCTCCAGTTTGAATGCTTTTGTCTTGCGCCCACAGTCTTTCGGCATTTAGGTCGGTCTCATGCAGATATCGAACACAGCAAATAACCCATAGTAGTGGTATACGAACCAGTGGACTTTGAGCTTCGACCTCTTGTTTTTAAGCTCTTCAAGCACAATAATTACTTAGTCAACCCATCTCCAAACAGCATAGCAGTAGCTGCCGCTATTGATATTAGTTGTGCCATGGACTGCTCACTTGTGCTCGACCATAAATGTACTTGCCAGCTTAGGCTTATCAATGTAGGTCGCTCAGTATCGAGAGAGATGCTTTTGCCATACGCACTTGTTCGAGTCTCATTTAAATTTAAAATTGTTCTGAAATCACTGAATTTGACTTTACTCCATTGTTCGCCCAAGTCGTATCAAACCTTAGTCGCCTTAGCGCTGTTGCTTCTATCTTGAAATGGTATGAGTGAAGCCAACCGTGTAGAGCCTGCTGAGCTTGGGTGGAAATCTGTCCGAATAGGGGTTATATGTAGTTGCAGCCCCGCTTACCGCCACCCGACCTTCTTTATTCACCTACTCCTCTTTTGTTGCAGCTGTTTTGTAATGGCCACTACTATAGTTTTCAAAGCTCCTCGTGGTTCTTTCCAAAACTTCACTTTTTTTATGTTAGTAATAAATAATGCTCTTTGTTGTCCTCGTAGTGAATTGCTTTTTTTATTGTTACTAATTTCAGTTTCATCTGGTAAATGCTGTCCGCCGACGTGTACGGTTTGCCGTAGTCCGTTATTGGTGCCGGAGAATATCATGCTACAGATTGTGAATGTGAGATAATGGTATAGTTTGAACGCTATTCCGGTTGCGAACCTTAGGGATAAGCTGAAAATTGATTTTCAAAAGAAAGGCCTACTGGTGGAGACTCTGGGAGTACCCTAGTGATAGGCGTTTTATGGTTGATTTTTGTAAACCTTGATTGTTGAAAAAGTTTGATCAATGAAGTCTGTAAATAGTATCTAAGCGTTTTCTGACAGCTCCAATCTCATTGCTTGACTCGGGAACTTCTTTCGGCTGACAGTAATGCTGAAGTAGTTTCTGAGAAATTAACTGACGTCAAAGTAGCAGCAGGTATCCGGAAAACCTTGTCCAATCTATCTTAGAATTGAGCTTTGACCATGAGAACACCAGAACGATCGTTTTCGTTTCCCGTCAGAGCTGTACAGTCGATCATCAAACTTCCCGAATTGTTAGGTTGTTTGGGATATTCGGGCGTTCGATAGTCATTATGCCACTGTGGAGGTTTTTGGAACGTATGCACGTTGTTTCTGTGTATTTCACGCAAAGACTGGGCACAATACTCGTAAATAACAGCTGTAGTATTCCGATTTCTATAAGATTAATTACAGTGGGGATCAGATTACTCCCACCCTCCACTCGCGAGGGGGAGTTTCTTTCGAGATTCTAGATAGAATGAGTATCTTCGAGTGTATTCATTCCTGTGGTAGAGTTTCTCAAAGGTTGATCTAATTCAGTACCTCATATTGTTTTCCTTGATTTTGATTAATAAGAGTCTGAGGGGGATAATCGAATCGGTGGGAATGTCGGGACTCGCATACCCTTTTCAAAGTCCGTCATTTGTTAGGAACTTCTGCAGAAGGTGGTTAAAAACATAACCGAAGAAAAATATAACAAAAACAACGAACATTCTAGTTTACCTCGAACGAAATTGATTGGGTGCAATCTTCTAGAAGTAAATGGGAGTGGACTATCTGAGAAGTTAGTTCCGGATTCGAGTATGACCACCTATAGCTGTTTGAGTATCAAGGTTTCTCCTTTTTATTTCGTTGCCAGTATTAGAGAGACTAATGTAATCTAAATCATTTCGCGTATTTAATGGTCGTTTTTCATAGTCAGCCTGTGTGTTTCGTCCCAAAATTTAAGGAACCGAAGAAAATGGTTGAGTTAGAGACGAAACGTTGGGCCTCATACTCACTATAGTCATTCCTACTTCTTTTTGTTTTATAGTTGTAGAACAGGATGTTTTTCTACAACTTACACTTAGTCAAGCTTAGCTGCTGGCTGGATGTTTTGCATATAACTCGGCACTCTCGTAGAAAAAAAATTCAATTTGTTGTACTGAGCAGTAAGCTAATTT